GAATAAATGTATGCCCAATATGGCGGGTGGTTGTGTATAAATCATTGCATCGTCCATGTTATCTTTAGTTTATTAGAATATTTTGGGTGTTGCCTGCAGGTATTATACAACAATTTGACAAATGTCTGAAATGAAATACCTACAGAGTCCGAATGATTTACCCAGAATTTGTACCAGATCTATATCTTCTGTTCGAACAGTTGATAAAACCTTTTGAACCAAAAAGCATGCGTTGTTTGTCTTAAAACGTTGGTTATGCCATTTTAACAAAAATATTGTAAGCAGGTTATGGTGAAGTTGTATATATTTAGCATATGTACAGCCTTTAACAGTTACTAAACAACAGTTGTATAAGTGCTTCCGTTGGGAGCAATTTGTTGGCTAAAGTAGTAAATTGCATAGCAAAACAACAGGCTCGGGTTGGTTTTATAAACGTTACCATGGATGCCACAACACAACCATTTTGACTAACGTGCAAATATGCCGTATGAAATAGTTGTATAAACATTTATGCAACAGTTAAAATTTGCCCTATAAGGTGTTGTATAACTATGCTATAAGAATATTTTAACCACCTCATTTTAGAGCAAATATGTTGCAGAAAGCAGATTTGCATTCCACACAACATTAAGCCAGCATTTTGGTGATCAAGCAACAACAGTAGAGAGCTTTTATGGCTGAACGGTTCTTTTACCAAAAGCTTATACCACAACTTTGCTAGTTGGGTACTGTTCGATAAATGGTTCTACGTGAAATGTTTTCATTCTGGAATATTCGACAGATTTCAGCTTTGGATACCCCCCAACCAACTTGTAGATACTCTTATTCCTGATTTATACGACATCTTAAAGCGAAAACTTCAAAATAAATAAATGTCAACTGACAGTAAAGTAAATAAACAAACTTTTGTTATCAAGGCAACTTGATATTATTTTGTGTTCGTTTAAAATATATAATATATATTATAATGTTGTGCCAAAACTTTTAGGGCATACGTTACTACTAAAAAACATTTTGGACAAACTAGTAATATAGCAAATATGTATGTCTGGTCTCAGGTAGGACAACGAATGGAAGCTGAACAACACTACTCCATTCAGGGTATAAGGTTTATCGAAATAATACAACACAAGTGCCCTCTATTAACAGAATAAATCACTACGAAAGGGAAAACAACAATCTGACTATTGGAACTGTATCCCAGTTCACATTGCCAGCCGGGTCACCATAGTGGCCGCACGATGCCGCCGATTCTGGTGCTAGAGTAGATAGGGTGTACTCACCATTCAACAAACGATTCTAGTAATAGATGACACTTTGTGCTGCCTTATTTCGAAGAACCCTTTTACTTGGAGTGATCCGTGGGACATGAAACAATGCTCGGAGCGATAGAAACATTTTCTGTAATTTGCTTACAAAAAGTTTAAACAAATTAGCTCAGCCTTACCGACTGGCAAATTTTATAAACTTCTTTCGCGAATACAAGGTTGCTGCCTCGTCTAATATCCAGAATAATATTTTTCGCGTTCCGGACATTATTTTTCATCAGGTTTTCTGGATCATTCTAGACAGAAAAAGTCTTTAGTACTATTTCTGTAAAGTTGAGCGATGTGATGCCAGAAAAATCCTAAAATGGTCATTTTTAATGCTTAAAGGATCCGTTAAGAATCATTATTTTTGAGGTTGCAAAGTGTTTAAGTCAAAGTTCAAAACTTCCTGTACAAGATTATTTTAGGCATAGTTTATTTTAAAGCGAATTTTGACCTTATTTGTTAACCCAAAAATGGCGAACTTTAGATTTTCAAAAATAGACGCGGCCTATCGGGAAGATGACAGCCTTCGCGCGCCAGACTCTGTGTGTGTGGTTCAGCACCGTTGCTAGATAGTCGATAGTTAGGACAGAGAAAAACTAAAGGTAACGTTATCAAATGTGTGGGGAGTATCAGGTATGGACTAATTGTATAGGCCGGGTTGGCTGACTCGATTTATTTAATTTATTGTTATACATGTCTGTGGCCAGCTCAGAGGTACTAACTTGTGCCAAGCTAATCATTTATAGCTGATCATCGCCCTGGGCAACTTCTCGTCAACGCATGCATCTTCCACGTTTATAGGTAATTGTCAGTGTGACATCTTGCTTGGCATGTGAGTTTTCTTTTGATGATCTTCGATATGATAGTGATAATAATAGTTATTGGAGTATTAATACATAATCGAATAAAAATATAAGTAAATAATAGAATACAAAAAATAATACGTCAAAAGGCTGGGGATTGATAGCCATTTTTCAGCCCTGCCCTTGTAGCTAATGTAAATAAAATTAAGTGCAGTACCTACCATATCCTAATATCAAAATTCATATACATCACATGTATGAGTAAATAATAATAGTAAGAATGAGATGTATTCAAATACTTTTAGATTCAGTAAATTGTAACAGCATTTTTTGGATTTTGTTTTAATGCTGTGAATGGATGTTAGTTCGAAAATTCTTGGATATTAATTTAGTATGCTAGGCGCTAAGTAACAGAAACAATGTTTAAATTTTCTCGAAGGGTGAATGTATTCTCTCCAAAGTATCAAGAAGGTATCTAGAGACTCATATTGTCATACCTAATAATGTTGAAGCTTGCATGAAAGAAGCTACAGTCAAGAAAACAATGCATAAAAGGAAAAATCCAACACCTTGGTTCTCGCAGACGTCCAAGGATTCTAAATTCAAAGAGACTGCAATATTATAAAAAGTTTATCATTACTGGGCATGAAAATGACTAGAATACACAAGATCAAGAAACCAATCTGTAGCAGTTCTACGACATGATAAGAAAAAATATTACAATGCCAAAATTGATCAGAGTAAAAATAATAGCAAACAGATGTGGAAAACGTTAAAAAACATTGTTTCTCCTATTAGAACAAATTCATTATCTAAAATGAAGTCCGAAGATGGGGTAATAATAAATGAAGAAATAAAAGCAGAGCGAATATTTCATAGAGAGTGTCAATGACACTGTGGGATCGATTATTGACGGGGATCCCAACCTATGTCCCATTAGATCAGATTATAATGCATCATTCAGTGAGTTTAGAAAAATAAACATCAATCGTCTCAAGAAGATTATATATAAAATTAAATCAAATCAAAATAGAGTGAGATTTTTTCTAAAAGTGTGCCTAATTAATGTTTTGATATTATTGGAGCAAGAATATTAATCCTGATAAATTACTGTTTAAAGTATAGCGAATTTCCAACAAAACTGAAGTGATCTACCATAACTCTTGTTTCGAAAGTTAAGAATTCTGAGTTGTACACCGATATTCGGTCAATAAGTGTTCTGCCAGATGTTGAAAAAGTCTTTGAAGAAATTATTTACGAACAGATAATCGAAATTATTGAGAAAAATAAAATTTTAACCAAATTTTAAGCTGGATTCATGAAGAAACACTCAAGTGAAACGGCAATACAAATGGTTTTAAAGGACTGGATGAGATGTATGGATAATAGAAAATATACAGTAACAGTGTTTTTGGACTTCAAAAGGGCGATTGAGACTATTGACAGGGATAAATTACTTACAAAATTGCATCACTACGGATTTAAAGGATCTGTATTCAAAATTCAACAAAACTACTTAATTGTCGAAAGGCCAAAATTGGATCTACACTATCAAGCTCAAAAATATTAGGTACTGTAGGTGTACCACAAGGTAGTAAACCAGGTCCACTACTATTTATTTTGTACATTAATGACATTTGTAATATTTTAGATTAATGTAAAATTCATATTTTTGCAGGTGATCGATTCATATATATATATATATATATATATATATATATATATATATATATATATATATATATCAGATGAAAATATAGACACAGCTTTAAAAATGCTAAATTCTGACTTGGAAAAAATCATAAATTGCTTAAATGTAAATAAATTAGAATTGAATACTTCTAAACAAAATGTATGCTTATAGGAAAATACCTAAATGAAAATACAGTCACAGCTAGGATAAATGGTGAAATGATTAAAAATCTTGAATCAGTTAAATATTTAGGTATATATATATATATTGATAGTAAACTAAAGTTTGACATTATTTCAAAAATTAACACAAAAAACCAAATTACTTTTATAGGGCTTCTCATAGTCTTGGTACATTTTCCAAAAATAGTTTATAATACAATATTATTCTACCGCATTTACTAAATTATTGTTCAACTATCTTGTTCACTGCCAATAAAGCTGTATTCTCAAAATTACACGTGCAAAATAAGGCTATCAGAATAATATTGAACAAAAATAAAATCTATGTTACAAGAATTGGCTTATCATATTTGGTTCTTATTTTTATATTTAAAATATTTAAAATAAGAAATCATCTTTTGCCACAACATTTACATGGAATTGAATAGTCATTACCATAATTATTATACAAGAGGAAATAAAAATTTTCATTTACAAAATTGCAAGAATAATACATATAACTAGCAAATCAATACTCCAGTAAGGAGTACTTGAATTTAATAAACTAAATAATGATATTTCGTGGACAGTGAAAACAATTACAGATGCAAATTTTGTTTTTGATAAATGTCTGTATGTTATGTAATTGTTTAGTTTTTTAAAAGAATGTTATTGTAGCAATCATGCTAAATAAATCTTAAATAAACAAGCAAACCTTTAATCGCCCGATTCTCTATACTCGTAAAGTCATGTAGCTTAGCAATATTCATTCACTTTTATCCTGCCATAATAATACTATTGACTTAATGAATCCAGAATTTGGAACTCAATTTGTTCAGACTTCGATTTTTGTACTTTGCACTGCCTTACATAGGTAAAAGGTAGAATGGATCACTAGACATTTTCTATAGTTGAAATATCTATTAACTGTTGACTAATGGACTCTTAAGGACTTACTTGAAAGACCAAAGTCCGTAGCTCAATTATTACAACACCTCTCCTACATCTTATTGATGAACTATCAAATTAACAGTAGATGACAATGTCACCATCAAAGTTGAATCAGGGTCAAAGAAGTGAAGATGATACAATGATCGAATTTTCGGACAAACATGAGGGAAAGACAACGGATTTCGTTTTAGTCTACAGGAAAAGTTTATTGACCAACGTTAAACAAGAAAAGCTTGAATATTTTATTTGGCGACTTTCACTTGCGGGGATTATTATTGACGCAGAACGATTTTCGGTAAGAATTCCACGTTAGTTTTCGGCCTGACACAGAAATGGCGCTCCAATCAGCGAAAATTTACAATTCCTGTACATTGTTAATTCGATTTTTGAACTATCTAAGGTTAGTAGAGCTGGAAAAAGCTTCCTCGGACAGATTGTTCCACAAAGGAGCGGTCGTACTGGCTAGTTTTTGGTGTACGAAGTTTGACACAGTTGGGATAGGAGGCCGAAATCGGGCGGGTCTGCCTGGCAGGTTGGCGGCATCATGCAGGAGAAGTTTGAAGAGCAAAGCTCGTTGACATACTACTAACGTACTACTCACATGTTTGGGGTGCTGCCGCCTCGACTACATCATCCATGCGTGATGCTGTTCGTCTGATCGATGACTCTTCTGTAACGGACAGTCTCGGAACCCTTCCGATCTATCCCTCGTCTACCGTTATATTGACGGGCTTTGCTTCTCAGAGCCCTCCTACATGATGCCGCCACACAATATGCCTGCCAGACAGATCCGCCTGACTTCGGCCCCCCATCCTAACCGTGTCGAACTTCGTACATCCAGAACTGGTCGATTCGACCACTTCTCTGTCCCTAGGGTATCGAGATTGTGGAACGTCTACCTGAGGAGAATTTCCTCAGTTCTACTAACTTTAGACAGTTCAAAAATGGGGTTAACAAAGTTTATTTAAGCTGTCCATAGACTGCTACAAAATATTGACGTTTTTGTTTTTGGAACCAATAGTTGCCTGAGGTGCTTTCCAGTTCCTCGTTTGTGTTACTTGGAGGAACTCGGAGCTACCTACCACCTGTCAATACCGTAAAAGTGCTATAGAGCTGTGGTCGCAAACCCGTCGATCGCGAGCTATCGGTAGCTCGCAAAGGCAATTCTGGTGGCTCACAAGATATTTTAAAAGGCAGTAAAAATCATAAAAGCTTCCGTAAATTTTGTAAATTCTTATAATAAACACAAGCAGCGGCAACACTGCGGTGAGCGATCTGTTCGAGAACGATGTCGATTACCTTGAACGGAATAAATACGCAAGTTGCGACGACAGTGCCTCAGTTTAAAACTAAACGGCACAAAATCCAGCGGTTGGGTTAGTTGGCCTACAATTTAAAACATTATTAAAGGTAAATATGGATGTTTGTTATGTAATCATCTGTTTCCATTGCTAAAAAAGGGATTATCGGGAGGCACTATAAAACTGTACATTCTAATTTTAAAAAATCATTCCCATTACGTTCTGCAACCAGAACAGAAAAACTGAAACAATAAAAAAATCAGTTAACTGGACAACCGACAATGTTTTCAAAAACAATCGACAAAAGTAAGGCTGCAACTGAAGCATCATACCGGGTGTCCCAATAATTACACAAAAAAGGAAACCTTATGAAGACGGGGAAATGATAAAACAGGCGTTTTTAGAAGCTGCAGATTCATTATCTGCCAACTTTAGAAATAAAGACGAGGTAGTGTCTGCTATGAAATCTATGCAACTTTCTGCTAATACAGTGATGAGACGAGTACAAGTAATGAGCAATGATATAGTTTTACAGTTAAGAAGTTCGATAACTGTGCTTATTTTTCACTGCAGCTGGATGAATCCACAGATATCATTGACACCTCTTAGATGTTCGTCAGGATGGTTTTTAGTGATTAAAGAAGATCTTTTGAAGTTTATTCCACTAAAAGGACAGACTACTGGACACGGCTTGTTTTCTTCTTTTAAAAACATTATTTCTTCTGAGAAAATTCGAATATCGAAAATGGTAGGCTTGACAATCGATGGCGCTCCAGCTATGGTGGGTCGTGATAAGGGTGTCCTGGGGTTATGTCTTAAAAATGAAAATTTTCCGCAATTTCTCTGTTACCACTGCATTATCCATCAACCATCATTATGTGGACCTTTTCTAAAACTAAACAACGTTATGAAATTGGTAGTAAGAATTGTGAACAAGATTAGAGCTCAAGCGTTACAAAGATTATTCACTGACTGTCAATACGGGGAACTACTTCTTCACTCTGAAGTCCGATGGTTAAGTAGGGGACGAGTACTGGAACGGGTTAATGATATCATATCTGCCATAGTTCAATTTTTCAAACAACGTGATGAACCGATTCCGGAACTATAAAATTCAATCTGTCTTAGATGTTTTGGTTTTCTTGTGGATATTACAGAAAAATTGAATGAACTTAATTTGCAGCTTCAGGGAAGAGACAAAGAAATAGCAAAAATATATAGATATAAAGCGTTTATCAAAAGGGAACTTTTTCCTGTTCTTTCAGAAAAGATATCTCAAAGTCCATTAGAACCATGTGACAGTAAATATTACGAAGAAATAGTTTCTAGCTTTAAGGATAACTTCATAAATCGTTTCAACGATTTCAACGAAATTGCTATAGTGGCGCAATTTGTTGTTTCACTCTTCATGGAAATTGATATCCAACAGTTTGAAACTTCTGTTGCGCATAATTTTAGCGAAGACATCGCTGCGACAGAAATGGAAGATTACGTTTCAAAATGATTTAGCTTTAATATCATTAGTCTCAAATATAAAATCTATCTGGCATTAAGTAACGATAAATATTCAGTTTTATGTCGTGTTGTCCTGAAAGTGAAAGCGTTATTTAGTTCAACATATTTGTGTGAATCTTCTTTTTCAAATATTAAGTTTATTAAACACAAATACCGTAATCAACTTACCGATGAAGATTTGTTGGAATATTATACTGCAAATATTAAAAAAAACTGTCAGTGAGTCGGGGTGTCAGGCTTCTCATTGAACACGCAATTTTTATTTGGACATGTTTTTGTTTAAAATAGTGCGTTACTTTTTTTATTTTTAGTTACCTTTATTCAATCGTATGTGACATGCCAGTGTAGCTGACAGAAAATTTTGTTGATGAGCAGTGGAGCGGCTTTCTGGCGGGGATGCTTGAATCAAGTATTCCTATCTGGAAAGTGGCAAAATCGCTCAGAAACGGAAGGCAAGAACAACTACCACATATTCATGGTCCTGGAGGCATAGTTTTCACGACTGAGGATAAAGTGGAGGTTTTAGCTGACGTCATGGAAAAGCAGTTCTCACCCAATTACGATCTGGACAATGACCTTGACGAGGAACGACAAATTGTAAGATCTGTCAGAAGATACTTCAGAGCGAATGGCGATACCAACATCGATGCTAACATCGGTGACTCCTTTTCAGAAGATTCTTCTACGGAAGACTCTTCAGATGAATCTCAGCATAACACATTAACGGAATCCTCTGAGATTCCGTTTTGCAAACCAGCAGAGCTCCAAGGTCACATTAAGGACCTAAAGGTGCGTAAAGCACCTGGAGAGGATCAAACCACCGACAAAGCACTGAAGTTGCTTTCGCTCAAGGCTTTGACTTATCTGGTGGCAATAATCAATGCAATGATCAGAATTCATTACTTTCCTAAGGCGTGGAAGGTCGCTGAAGTGAAAAAGGCAGGTTCGATATTCCTCCAGGATTACCGTCTCATTAGTCTGCTTTCATCTCCTTCTAAGCTCGCTAAAAAGGTGATTTATCGTCTCCTTTTGAATTTCTCGTCAGATCACTATGTGATTCCTGACGTACAATTCGGCTTTCTGTCTGAGCATAGTACGGAGCTACAGGCAGTTAGACTGGTGGAGCATGTAACCAGGGGGTTCACCCTGAACAAAAGTACTGGTATCTTGCTTTTAGATGTATCAAAGGCATTTGACAAGGTGTGGCACATGGGCCTCTTGTATAAGCTCATCCAAAAGGGTTTTCCATTTTGGCTACTAAAACTGTTGAAGTCTTTTCTAAAAGGAACGAAGTTTCGGATCAAAATTAGCAATGTGTTGTCAACAACATGACCCGTAAGATCTAGTGTTCCTCAGGGTTCGGTCTTAGGACCAATCCTTTATTCACTTTATATACATGGCGTCCCTTGCCCCAGCACCTGTGAAGTCTATCTCTATGCTGATGACACTGCATTGCTAGCCCAGTCTTGTTCTGGTAACCTGGTTCACGACAGGCTGCAGAGTGCGGTGGAGGAAGTATTGGAGTGGGCGGATCGGTGGTTGATCAAAATTATTACTTCGAAAACGCAGGCAATCTATTGTACTAAAAAACGTCGCGGTGCCCCCTCAGAGATATCAGTGAATGGAACTCGTATACCATGGGAGCAATCTGTCAGGTATCTTGGAGTCATCATTGATAAGGAGAAACATACTGATGTTTTGAAAACAAAATTCCAAATTACCGGGCAGCTTTATCCTTTGTTGTGCAGACATTCAAAATTAAGTTTGATCAACAAGATTTGGTTGTATAAAATGGTCATAAGACCCGCAATCACCTACGCATGTGCGGCTTGGTGTTTTCTTGCCAAGTCGCACATGCAGAGACTGCAAGTCCTGCAAAACAGAACCCTACGTATAATTACTAACGCCCCTTGGTACGTGTCAAATGAGACCATTCACAGAGATCTTGATATCCCATATCTAAGGGATTACGTAAAACAACAGCCGCTCAGTTGCGTGATTCAGTAGACTACACAGTCGAGCAAGTTTGCAAACATTCGAGGCCCCGCCTCGCATTGTGATCACAATTAAATTGTAAATTCAGACCAGCCAAAATTATTTCTGTATACAAAACCGATCAAAATTATTTTTTGGAGTTACAAAATAATTCGAGTAGTCAAAGCAATAATGCTTAAGCTATTTCAAATGATTTACTTCTTTTCTTTGCTCTATTTCTTCCTTCCCTTCTTTCCTTCTTTCCCTTTTCCCCTTAAATATGTTTGGTATCTGGGTAGCCAGGCCTGACAGACTAACAGACCGACACTTTGAAAATAATTATGAATATCTACACTAAAACATGAATTCGACATATTTATCGAGAAGCTTTACAATAAAAATGCAGACCGCTGAGCCATCATTCTAAAAGCATCATCAGGCATCAATAGCATAGTCTGACAATGCTCCTAAAAATAAAGGTAAGATGTGTTTCATTTTCATTGTTTGGAAGTGTGATACAAATTGTCAACGTCAAAGCAAAGCATCAACAAACGTCGCGTTCCCATGCGCATTTGCTAGGCTAGTTCGGGAGCGTCATACTCCGGGTGCAACCAACTCTCAATTGAAAAGCACTGGAAAGCACCTCTGGTATCCTTTGACACTGCTGACTCTTTAAAGTTAACAATAATGCTCTTGACGTTTCAAGCCCCTATGAACTTTTGATGCAGGTAGTAAGGATCACTTTCTTCAGACTGCGCTCAAAGCAGAGTGCAAGGTAACGTATGCTACTTACACCCCCCGTATGTGATTTACAGGCAGATGCAGACTTGGTGTTTGTGAAGCTGCATGCATCCAATGACGTTGTTTTTAATTACGCTGACGTATGTGATATTGACCTTGCGTGTCGAAACGATGATTATAGACCTGATTATGATACTCCTAAAGGTTTTCTGGCTACGCCTTTGACCCGTCCGAAGACCGATAATGAAGTCTACAAAAGAGCACCGTAAGACACTTTTTTCCACTACTAAACCGAGAAGTCACCATTATCGACCTAATGCTTTATTGAGAAGTCTTCCTAGGTAAATAATGAAAACAAATACACACAGGCACAGAGACTACTACTGTACCCTATTCGTAGTCCATTTACGCCGCGGTACAACAAAGATGCAGCGCGGCAAAGCGGCAGCCGCCTAAGCGATGCAATAGCTGTAGGTCATAAAACAATAAGTGCAGGATTCGACAGGATAGAATTCAGGCTCGGGGTATCGCCGGCACGCTGGCGCTGGCAGTTGCTGTTCATATTCAGTGCATAGTTAGCGTGTTGTCTACGGATACAGCAGATGAAACTGAGAATATTCTCCCAATGCTTCCTTCAGCCATGCTTCCTATTCAGTGATGTCTCCTCCCAGAAAACGTGACAAGAAGGGACATTTGAATATTCAGACAAAATAAATTGTCCTTAACGTTTATAAGAACGAAATTTTAGAGCATCCTGAAATGAACATTCATGATATTGAAAGACGTGTGGTGAACAAAACAGGCTTATGTCCTAAGACAATTTTCAACATTGTTAAAGAATATAAACAAAAACAAAAATTGTCTCCACCAGACAAGAGGCAAGCATTACACGGAGCTGCTGGATATAATTGATAACTTTGATCGGAATGCCATCAGATGCAATATTTTTTTGAAAGGCATGAACTTCTCCCATAGGCAAAGTTTTACAGAGGTTAATAGTGATGAAGACTTACCTATGACCACATTCTGTAGTTTACTCAAATAACTTCATTTTGAGTATAGAAAACGGGGCAGAAATAGTATTTTGATGGATAGCCAAGATATTATTTTATGGAGAAGAAATTAATTAAAATCAATATAGAATATATATAAATATAAAGAAATACCGCGACCAGGGTAGGAAGATTTATTACTTGGATGAAACCTGGATAAATGGAGGACATACAAAACCTAAAGTATGGGCTGACTCTACAGTTAAATCAGCAAGACGAGCCTTCTAGATGGACCAACCACTGGCCTAAAGAATCCGACATGTACAAATTCGTCATTTGTGTTGTAAAAATGGTGCCAAGTCGACTGAATCTATGAGCCCACGCTGAAAACATTAAAACACTAAGTTTAGCTATATCTGGTGGATTTGGAACCAACATCTGTTACATAATCTGCTTGTACTATTATTAGTCTTGAATATTATATGAAATAATTATTTCCAGGAAAAGGAAAATGATTTGTTATATGTCACATCGGCAGTGACATGTGAAAATTTGAATGTTGGTTTGAAGAAACGCTCCCAAAGCTTGACGTCATTATACTTGATAATGTCGCATACCACACTAGAAAACTAGAAAAAATACCCTCAATGTCCACAAGGGTGGAGCGAGTGGAGCGGCCGATCCAGGCCTGGCGCTAACAAAAGTAAAAAGTTTTGGTAGAATGCAAATAATATAATAATGTACAGATATACGTGCCTAAAATATCTGTCTGATTACCCTCGCAATAGGATGAATTATTGATTAATTATAAAACCCACGAACGAATCTGATAATCCTTCAACACCTGATCCTCAAAACTTTTCAATGTCTACTGAAGCTAAAGGGCTCGTTTGCTAAGTTTGATAAACTCATACAAAAGGGCCCTTTGCAAGTAACTAATTTTAGTTTTCCTAAGAATTCAGAAAAAAAACATTTTTCTGCTAAGTATTACAAAAGAGTCATGAGCGACGGAGAAGAGGTGCATTAGCAATGGCTTATGTATAGCAAAACTAGTGACAAGGCGTTTTGTTTTTGTTGTAAATTATTTGGTGATAATACTGGGTCTCAGTTAGGATCAAATAGCAAACCATACAAGCGAAACAACGGCTATTTTTGATATATAATGATTAAAATGTTGGTTGGCTACATTCCATCCTGTCATTCAAGAGCATGTTAGGTGAATTCAATCGTCTGAAATTCATGATCACTATTTAGGGACGATCGTTCAAAACGAATTAAATCAGCTGCTATCTGAAAAGGTGAAATCTAAGAATGTTCTCAGTAATGTTATACTGCACACCTGACCTTAGCCACAAGGAGAAGTTATCCTTAGTGTTACGATATGTGAAAATTGATCTCTCCAAAATGAAAATGAAGGTGTATGCATCGAAGAACATGTCCTTCTACAAGATGAAATTGGATTAGAAATCAAGGACTGTAGAGGACAAGGATATGATAACGGATTCAACATGAAAGGTATCCAATCTAGAGTACAGGCACGGATCTTGGAAATAAATCCAAAGACGTTTTACATGCCCTGCGCTAGTCACAGCATCAACCTCTTAATTTGTGATGCTGCTAAATGTTCTCTAAGGGTAGTTGAGACAAGAAACCAATGGAATTATCATCAACATATAGTATTAGCACACAAATCCTCACTATGCACCTATGCACTGCCGTTTCGTTCTCGCTATAGTATACAACTTACAGCTTAGACCTCCAATAATGCCATCTTTGAAGCAGATTTTACATCACATCAGAGTAAAAGATTGATAACTGAAGCATCATGACGTTCATGCAACACGTACAACTACAAAACTAGTTCATAACAAATGTCCATCAGGTAGTGCTTGTTGAAAAACCTAAGTACATAATGTCACAAGAAAACCAATATAATGTCAACAAAAAATCGATGTAATGTCACTTTTCAAGACATGTAATACCCGTGCGGTACGGGTACTACGTATCTTAAAAAATGACATTTCGTTGGTTTTGTTGACATTTCGTAGGTTTTTTTACAAGATGCTAACGTAGCTGTTGTACGTACACTTGTTGTCAACTCATTTTGTAGCTGAACGTGTTGCTTGCACACTAAAAACTACCTAGTCTGCAAGATGACATTTCGTCGGTTTTTTTTGGCGTTTTTTAGTTTTTTTACATAAAGCCGATTCTAATAATTTTGACCCTAAGCAACCCTGAGCTACTACTACGCCAATATAACATGCTGCTACAATGTTTTCAAAAGCAAATTTGTTATGGCCCTCTGTGTAAATGACGCCATTTTTTGATATTCTAGCAAATCTGTTTCAATGGATAGACCAACTGGTATAACATCCGCAGAAAAAATACTGATTATGGTAGAACTGATGAATCGTACAAAGTTTGGACAAAGGCCGAGTGAGTATGGTATCTATAAATTGAAACAGGAAAAAGTATTCATTGATGCTTTCCCAGTTCATGATGGCGAACACAAATGGACGGAAACTGGACGACTGAATGACAGGCAGGTAAAACGAAGTAGACAGATTGTTACTCAGTCAATTACTTAAATATGAGAGATAGTAGATATAATTTGACAGAAGAATACAATGATTCTTAATGACAGAGCTAACTTTAAACTATAACAAAGTTTCATATGTGAATCCCAAGTAAATAAATTGTAAAACTAGCACATGGTAAAGTGCGGTTCACATATTAGAAAGCTTGCCAGGCAATGTCTTCATTGTATACCAAACAGGGAAGGGGGAGGGAGGTAATTTATAGTCGCACACGCCATACAAGAGCCCCAATTTTTGATTTTGACCTTTGATACAAAGTTCAGAGCGTTCCTACAATTCTTCTTGGTTTCAGCTTCTAGCCCGATATTGGGGCAGTACCAAATGCTGGTACAAATGTCAACCACATCACACGATAGAACGTTATTTTGGTACAGAATATGCGTTCTACTTTGCTTGGTTAGGCTTCTACATAAAAATGCTCATCCCAGCAGCAGCATTGGGGCTAATCTGTTTTACCTTTGGACTTTCGACATGTAACTACAAATATTTTAACTATCGAAGGTATGACTTTTCAGATCATAGCTAGGGCGCAATGCATCGTTGTTTTTTTCAAGAGAGTTGACAAGTATCTTTAAGAAGGTAATTCCCAGAATTTCCGATATTTCCAAATTTTCTGAAATTTTCAAAATTTCCAAAATGTTTTAAGTCATTGTTTCTAGAAACGACGCGACCATGCATTGACCTCTAGAGTAACCAAATGTTAAAAATAATCACATTATTTTCAGCCATGAGATATGCAATAGTGACCAAATCATGTGCCCGAAATGTCACCAAGAAGGATGTACCTTCGAACCATTAAGAGCTTCTTGCGGTCTTTCCAAAATGTGCTACATATTCGAAAATCCGACTACGATTGCTCTGGCCATCGCAACTGCATTTTGGTGTAAGTTACACTGGTAGAATTTTAGCCATCCAAGGTTCCTTACTTGTTTTCCCTATACATTCGGTCAAAACATGTAGGTGTATCCTGATTTATGGATTTATTCATATACTCCCCTTCAAAGTAAACACTAGTGTGCGACATTCAAATTTGCGGACTCCTATTGGCCAGAGGGACGAAAGTGCCTGGGTATGCAGTGACAAGTGAATAGAAACGACGATCAAGTTTATTTATTTATACTCTACTCAATAGCAACAGCAACAGAGTGAAACACAGTCTAAACTTCGAAGATACTCAATTATTTCACATTGTAAACAAGAGTAGGTCGTTCAGTCACAAGGATGCTATTGACAAACAGTTTCAAATATCAAATAAGAGTAGATAAGAAAGCAATCTCATTGGCGCAACTATATAGTGGGGGGGGGGGGGCTAGATAACCGTGTGGGCTAGCTGGTCGAGCTGCTAATCCGACGACTCGAAGGCTCACGGGTTCGAATCTCCGCCTCGGAAGTTAATTTTGAGCCATGACCAAACATTACTTACTTTCTGAAATACAAAAAATGGGGCATTGATTAACTTTTTAATGTATGTACTTTCAAGGCCTCCATACCTGCTAAGACGAGAAGGTACTATAAAAGATCAGTAAAAGTAAGGATAAAGCTGAACTTATATTCTGATGGCTGATTTTTATATATACTCTGAAAACGACACTGTATTTACATCTATCGCATTTTTTGATAAGACATTTAATTTTCACGAATTGGCTATCTAGATACATTTTTGTCATACACTACCTTTTGGGAGAAAAATTGGCTTGAATACTTGAAGTGAAAAACTTCAGCTGATTCTAGTTTATAATATGTTCTGAAACTAATGAAGTTTGACATGACATGAAATTGAATGTAGTGTATTTGGAGAGTGATCCTAGATCACCGTAGCGTTTTGTTCTTATTTAGCCTCGTCATTGGAGTAGAATACCCTGTATCTTGGTAGAAGACATCTTAGATCACTATTTATATATTTATATTAACTATTTATTTATTTTTCGATGTACTCTCCATCCTGAAAATATTACCCCGTTTTTCCGAGTCACCTTATGTCTGCGAAAGGTTGGGTAATCTCGAAACTGGAGATACTACAGACCAAAATATGTGAATTGACCTAAACATACCTTTGTCCTGAAGTTGATAGTTTGCGAGATACAGGGTATCAAAGTTACAATTTTATATTCTATTTTTCCTTATTGCTTGAGAAGTATTTCAGATTTTGGCATAAAACTCGGTATAGGGAGGTTTGAGAAACAAGAATCCGTTATTTTTTAACGCCAAACTTCTAGAGTTCACTATTTCGGTAAATAACTTTTGTGTGCTACTTTGCTTGCAATAATTAACCGAAAAATCTTATTTTCTCGTATTTCCACAACAAAAAAGGGGTTACTTGTTAGATGTGTCTAAAGCTAATAGTTTTTGAGACATTTGTTTTTAAAAGTTCCAATGCATTATTTGTACCATAAGTTGACAATAAGTTGTTAAACATCATGGAGTATACGTTTGATGAATATTTTGATATGCATTTGGATTATCAAGATGTAATGCTTTAAAAGCACGAAGATGGTACGCTGACAGATTCCCTAATAGACACCTGCCTAATTCAAAGACTTTCCATAGAATCATCGATCAGCGGTTATGAGAAACTGGTAAGAAATGACTAGAGCCTTATTTTGAGTAGTAAAAACCATTTGGATTTTAGGTAGTTGTGCTCAAAATATGGGCCGACATAGTGGAGCTCGCAGAACTGTACGTTCAGCAGAAGTTGAAGAAAATGTTTTAGATGCTGCTCCATTCAGACCACCTGCAAAAAGTACATGGTTTAAGCGCGGTCGATGAACCCGCAAGGTTTTACTTCGTTAATGTTATTTTCGGACGAAGCAGGATTTGGATGGGATGCGCCCGTTAGCTCGCATTATCTTCAAATATATGCAAACTAAAATCTTCATGTAATAATACAAATCCGCCACCAAGTACAATTTCAAATTAATTTATGGGCTGGAATAATAATTGGACAATATTTAATAGGACCCGTTGAGTTACCACCTAGGTTACATGGACAAAGGTATTTACAATTTCTTGAAGAACAATTACCCACTCTGCTGGAAGATCTTCCATTACAAACACGCATGAATATGTGGGTTATGCACGACGGAGCACCTCCTCATTTTAGTATATTAGTTAGGGAGCACTTAAATAGAGTTTATCCAGACCAGTGGATAGGCCGATCAGGACTTGTATCGTGTCCGGCTAGATCAGCCCTATGGATTTCTTCTGGGGTGATTTAAAGCGACACGTTTACAATGCGCCAGTGGAAACTGTAGATGATCTTACAAAAAAATTTCCATCATAGCCAGGAAATAAAAAATTACATGCAAACGCTTTGGAGAGTGCAGCAAGGATTAGTTCGCCTAGCGTGTATTAGACAAGGTGGTGCTCATTTTGAACCTTTTTTGTAGTTATTACTTCCGTGTATTAGTTTTGTTGCCATCCTCATTTGTTATTGTTAAAAGCCATAGCAACGCTACTAAGATATTATCCAAAGCAACTTGATTATTATGTTATAAAAATGTTTTATCATCATGGTACAAATATTCTCATACTAGAAAATACCGAGTTTTATGCCAAAATCTGAAATAATTCTCAAGCAATAAGGAAAAATAGAAAATTAAATTGTAACTTTGACATTCTGTAGCTCGCAAACTATCAACTTTTGGACTAAGGTATATTTAGGTCAATTCACATATTTTGGTCTATAGTATATCCAGTTTCGAGATTTCCCAACCATTCTCAGTATATAGGGATGAAACGCTTACCAAATAAGTGTACTATTTATACTGCTACATGACGTATTGGATAGGATCTTAATATGATCCTAGTATGATACGGTTTCTTCGCATATGCTAGTGAAAAAAAAGACAGGTACAGATGCTTCCATCATTTTATTCAAACAGTACCCCCCGCTGACAGAACTGCATATGCATATTACAATTTCTTAAAGGAATTCTAAATTTTTTTCGCTCTGGTCAATTGTTTCTAACTTGTTTTTAGGTCATTCTGAACTTCTCTCTAAATATGACTGTGTTGAGTTGAGTTATGAGAGATTTATTATTTGAAAAAGTGTAAAATGTTCCATTTTCGACCTCGAAAAACAATATGAAAAGACGAGAATCTTAATATTGTTAATGCTCCTAATATAAATCCTTGTCTTTTAATTGGGGATCTTCTAGCTTATGTCACGCAACTGTGGAGTAAGCTCATCCAGAATTATGGTGAGGCTCGTGTCGTTGCTCTTGATACCACGAAATTATTGGCATGCTGCTCTTTTATACAAACTTCCATCCTACGGCCTCACGGAGAAGCTTTGCAGATGAGTTGGTTACCTCCTTTCTAGGCGCAAGATATTCGTTCTCCTCTTCATCCCACAACCTCAACGCGGGTGTTTCCCATTGGTCGGTCTTTGCTTCGACATCGTTCCTCTTACATATCAACGATCTCCTTTTCTGTACGATCAATCCAACACAGCTTTGCTGATGCACTCTACATGCAGGAATTCATCTGCCGATCAGCTAGAGAAAAGAAGACTAGTAGCGACTTCCTCTCTGATCAGAGATCTGGAGGTTAACACTGTTTGGGGATGCAACAGTCTACAGTTTAATGCTTCCAAAATTCAGTACTGCAACCTTGACGAAAAAGAAGCGTCCTAACACTCACCCAGTTTGAATGGATCGCATAGTTCTACCAAAAAGCTGTTCATTTCGGCTGATACGAGTCCAGATCTCCGAGGACTTGATCTGGTACGAACAAATCTGCAGCTGCTGTGCCTACTACATTATCCGTGCTCGATGCGGTTCAGAGAACGGCTGTGTGGCTGACCGATAACATTTCTCTAACGAACAGTCTAGGAATCCTTCCCCGCCCACGAGCCGTCGCAATCTAGCTCTCTTCTACCGTTGCGCGAACGGGCCTTGCTCTTCAGACCTCTCTTCCATGATGCCGCCTCGCGATGCGTCTGCTAGATCGACCCGCCTGACTTCGCCCTCCCGTCCTAATCGCGGCACCCATCAGGCGGACAATTTTTTCATAGTCAACTAACTTATCATGTAAAATACTGATTGCCGGTCGACACTCATACGGCGATCCACATGTCGTGGACTTTTTGATTGATTTCCTCGGTAACCACGTCTGCCGGGCGTCCTGGTAGATCCTCATCAAAAACGGAAGTTCGCCCTCGTTTAAATTCATTGAACCAATACCTAACTGTGCTCATAGATGGCGAAGTGCCCCCATAAACAGCATCCAACTTTGCTTTTATCTCCTCGCATTTTTTTCCTTCCAAAACCAAAAAGCGAATTACCGCACGATACTGCTCTTTTTCCATCTTAGCGAAAATCACGAAAAACGTGTTACTCGAATGGCTGCCAAATCTATCTCTGGCCAAATCCAAACTAACCTATCAATCAGTCTAAAATTTGTTGTGCCGTCGTCTGATAGATGGCAGCACACGATGATAACATTAACTTCACCCAGGAGCGCCCTCTGTCGTCAAAATCCAAAAATACTGATCTGAGCCATAAAAACTGTTTTTAAATTTTTTTTGTCGCATTTTTTACCTCTGCGCAACATACAGATTCGTTAAAAAGGCCATAAGACTATGCAAAAAATCGGAATCAGAATATTTCTCCGAGCATCTGCGAAGATACTACCTTGACTACAAGGCTTTAAACCATATGTAGTGTTTGATTTTAGCTACATGTTTCATGGAGTATTGGCAGAGGACTGAAACTGTGCTCGCTCTACGTTGGAACGTGAGGGACTTGGAACTTGATCCTGGCACTAGGTAATAAACAGAAATAGTTAATTTCCCTTTGCGTAAAGAAACATTCTCTATGTTTTGCTGGCTGCCCAAAAGAAACCACACATGTAGAAGTAAAAGCTTACTGTCGTGTGGGTCACTTTGACTTCAAAGTAAAAAATAAACTGTGATAAAGAAAAATAGGCGTCAAGTGCGTTGATTCTTTACTTCCGATGCAACGTCGTCATCAGTCCTTATAAGGATTATGTTGAGCACAAGTTAGATCCTATCGAAATCAGACAGCGCCATAGACATTATAACCTGGACAGAGAATAGTTGCTATACTTACGTTCGTTTCCGAGACCAGGCCTATACTAAGCGGATGAGTTGTCCAAAAGCACGAAACAGCTATCTGTGGTTGGTCTTTGGTAAACAGACTAAAGCAGAATATTAGACCCTTTGAGAAAAAAGTTAGTTACGAACATTTATAGGAGAAAAATTAAACGAATAAGATTATGAACATAATCAGAATATTTTTTCTAAGCAAATGCGAAGAAAATTCCTGGAATCCGTTTTCGTTTTCAGACCACAATATACTGAAGCAGCCACAACACTGAGGTACTCTCCAATAACTAGAAAGATGGAACCATTCGTTAGTACGAAGAAGATGATTGTCGGTTATGTAGTCACAGGATCTTCTATCTTTCTACTGGTAATGTTAAGTCAAAGTGCAGTTATTCCAAGAGAAGACAGACAAGGCGGATTAACTGGAGAGGGATAAGAGATTTGGCACCCGCAAAACAACTGATGGCGTCTAAACACGTGCCATGTTTGTGCTGTTCTTATTTGCTCAAGGAAAAATGTGGGGTTGCCACATAGATAATGCTTTTTGGATGAATTCATTGTGAATGAGTTGTCGTAGAAGCATTTTCCGTTCTTTACTTTTATTTAAGCATTTATTTATAGTGGGTATATTTATCGTCCGTTTGAAGCCTACGAAATAAATTTGTCATTCAATAAAGTTGTACATCACACCTTTCTCGAGTGCTAACTGCATCATTTAAACACAAGTTATCCGCAAAATCAGGAAGTTAACACATAGGTATTTAACTTTTAGGATCCTACGGGGAATATTACACGATATAGTTTATTAACAAAAGAGCTACATCAGCATGGAATTCAATTTTTTCATAAATTTAAATTCCTCTTTTGACCAATTGTCGGTGTATTAAGGCCCTATCATCAGTCGTTCCTACAATTATTGTAGGACGCTTTTATGGCCTGCTTGATTTTCGTAGTTTTCTACTGTTCCATGTCAGCGCTCTATTTTTAGGTTATGTCACAAATATCTATTTGCATCAAATTTTACATGCTTTTGATTTATATCATCTATTTTATCAGCCTGAAGTTTCCTGCAATTCAAAACGCAAACATAAGTTGACAATAGGAGAGCGCTGACGCTGACAGGAATAGTAGAAATCTAGGAATATTCCAGCCTTTCTGAAGACTATATATAAAAATCAAGGAGGCCAAAATGGCATCCTACAATTATAGGAATTACTGACGACACAGTCCTTATACACGGTTGCAATTCTCTAGACAGCCTAACGTTAAGACGATATGTTCACTTATTTCGTATGGCTTTTTGACGTCGCCTCATAGTTTTTAACAATAAAAGGTATTTTTTCCACCTAAGCAATGACCGGTGTAGGAATAATTTCTTGTCATTTCTGACATAACAATAACTCTACTAACAAAACTCAATAAACTCTTGAATGTCATGAATGACAGGAAATTATACATTTTGTTGTTTAGAATTAATGTTTGAGCGTGAATATTTCGAAAACTATGAGGTCTACGTCAAAGTATGTTCATTAAAAAGTATTCAGAATTTCTCGCAGAATACAAATATTGAATAAAATGTATAGCATTCCTCAAGAAAAACAAAGGTTGCAATCAGTTTATGAAAAACTGTAGATTGGCAACATCGCGGATATCATCAACGGATCCGCCGTAAGTTTCAAACCTACAGCTACCAATTTCTAAAAAAATAGATGATTCATTCGTTTGCTGTTCGATGCGTTCCAAACTTTTGTTATAGTCTGTATTATACGATATAAAAGAAAAGTACATAGTCTATTTTTATATGGCTGGACAAATAAAGTTCTTACCTTTCCATCACGTGATCAGTGTATCCCCTGTACACAGTTCCATTTGTAGCGAGAAATAGGTATCTAATCATGGTTACGGGTCACCAAGCATCACCATAATTGATACACCAACTCAACATTCGAATATGAAGCTCCTCGCGAAAATCACAAATGAAACTGAAGAGTTCGAAGCGTCTGTCGCATACTCTCGATCATTCACGAATGAAGTGCCGAGACCGCGAGTTAAATAAACAGTTTGACCTTTTTTATTATTATGTCTAACTGTTTTAAAAGTACCTTTACTACATGAACTAAATTACCTAAACTAATTAAACACTTCAATAAAACAGGTAAATGGTTGGCTATTTTCGACCAAATTAGTTCAATAGTATATCAATTAAACTGGTTTCAGAAAATTCATAATTAAACCTAATGATTTAGTTACTTGGAATAAAATGCATTACGGATAATGAAAATTTACCAGGAAAACTGTTTAATTGATCCCCTTGTTTTCAGTGTGGAATACAAAAGCACTTTCTTTCCGTCCTGACTCACCACTTTTTTGTTTGGTCGCATCCCGGAGAATCTAATCTTTGTAATTTTCAGTGTACAGTGATCCTCTTGGCGGTGATGGCTGTGGTTGTTTACCATGTGGCTACAACGTATTTTATAGTATCTTCTGACATCAGTGACGACTTCAAAGCATTCAACGACACCTTTATCGCACTAACTGGTGCTGGCATATCCGCAATTTTCATACAAGTTTTCACTTGGTAAGAACATTTTTATTTCCTACGCCATGTCATTTGATTGTTTTTTTGGTTAATTTTCCGCCAAGTTTCCGCTAGTTCCATTTCACATCCACTAGTTTTAATTAAAAAAGTAACAGAAACAGCAGCATTACGGAAGGTACCGGATAAAGAGTTTTTTCATATTCCTTTGGATGCTGTTGTAAAATTATGAAAAAATAGATCCTCAAATAGTAGTTCAGAATGAAAGTGATCCATATTGTTGTGACGATCATTTTAAAGCAAATATAGAGCTCACTATTATCATTGCAGTTGGAGTTGGAGCAACAGCGGCAGCGTTAGACGGCTGCAGCTTCTGACAGTATTTTGATATAATATGACATCGAAAGATCAAGCCCACCTGATTTGTGCTATTAACTAAAAAGTGTACGGTTATCTCGGTGGATAGATTTAACATTTTTGAAGATTTTTCGATGTTAATCACTCCAAAGCTTTAGCTTTTGGCTACTATTTCATATTTAGTCTTACGAACTTTTCAGCAAAAAATAAACGATTTTTTGCAATAACCAGTTAACAGTTGCAACGAACTGGACATACCCATTTTGAAAGTGTTTTCATCCCTTTCCGAATTCTTCTATAGACATAATAACCTTGAAGTTTGATAAAAAAAGTTACCCAGCTTTTTTTATTTCAAGATGAAGGACCTTGCATTCACTCTGAAGAATATATAAATCCTTCTGTACAATTTATTATACAACGGGATTCACATTTAGTTAGTTATCCTGATAAAATAAGTTTTGACGTTTCTAGATAATATATTGTGCAGCAGCTTCCTGATTTTTCAATGCAGACTCCACTCCACGTATTTTCGAATTGCACATCTCGTGTTGTAGTTTAGTTTATATAAAAGTGACGCGATGTTTAGAATTTAAAAAACGAGTTTTTTCGGACTTCACAACCTTCGAATCCTTCAACTAAACTGTGGACGACGTCTTTTTTTTTTTTTATTTAATTACCCGCTTCAACCTAAAGGCCATTAGCGGTACGGCTTACATGCTATATTTTATATAATACATTAGTTTGCTGTAGGAAACGTAATAGATTGTTTATGTTGCTATTTGGTGCTAAAATATCACACATGGTTGATGATGTGAGGTTACATTCCACTCTATAGTGCTCTAACAAAGGGCACTGCACTAATATGTGTTTGACACTGAGATGGGTTTCACACACTTCACACATGGGTTCTGGTTCCTGCGTGATGAGATGTCCATGGGTGATCCGGGTGTGACCTAAACGGAGTCGTGTGATGATTGTTTGGTGTTTTCTGTTTGTTGTGTGTGTTGTCCATGGTCCGAATCTGAGTTTCAGTTCAAACAGCTTTGATGTGTTGTTCTCCCAGTTGGTATTCCAGGTTTGAATAGATCTTTGTTTAAGGTGAGATTTTATATCTGTATCTGGGATGTTTATGGTTGATGTGTGATCCAAGTTTGCTGCTAGTTTAGCTTGATGGTCTGCTTTTTCGTTGACTTGGATACCAACGTGAGAAGAAGCCCAAACGAATACAACATCATGGTTGTCTGCTTGTAATGAGTGGAGAATCTGCTTAATTTGGTGCACCAGGTGGTTTTTCGTATATATCTGCTCAATAAGCTGAAGCGAGCTTAGAGAATCAGTTATTATGAGGCTTCGTTGGATGTTCTGATTCTGTACGTGTTTCATGGCTTCTAATATTCCATACGTATAATTCTCCTGTTAGAATTGTTGCTTCGTCTGGTAACTTCATTTTAATGGTAGTAGTGGATGTCACAACAGCTGTTCCTACTCTATTGTCAAGTTTTGATGCATCTGTATATATTTTCTCATGGTGTTGGTATTTGTTGACTATTTCCTGGAAATTTTGTACTATTACTGGTGCTGGCGTGTCTGTTTTACTCATTCTTGTGAGAGCTTTGTTGAGGCTTGGCCTCTGCATTGTCCAAGGAGTAATGTCTGCACTAGGTCTGATGGTAGTTGCAGGAATTTGTGCGATATTTAATTTTCTCAAGTAGTCTGAGATTCTTCTGTAAAACGGTTTTTTCTGTGTTGCATTGGAAACGCCCAGCTGGATTCCTCTATTAATCTGTCCTATGTACTTGTGACCATGGATACTTGGATTTGATGCTATTTTAGTGGCATATGTTAAGCTTAGTATCTCCCTTCTGTCATTCAGCGACAGTTCGCCGGCTTCACAATATAAGCTTTGGACTGGTGTTGTTCTAAATGCTCCAAGTACTAAGCGAAGTGCTCTGTGGTGTATGCTATCCAAAGGTTTTAGAGTTGAACGGCTAGCTGAGGCGTAGATTATGCTACCATAGTCTATTTTAGATCTTATCAGTGATCGATATAGGTAGAGCAAGGATTTGCCTTCAGCTCCTCAGTGTCTGTTGGATAAGTATTTTAATACTGTCATTCTTTTTTCACATTTTGTAACTAGGTACTCTATGTGTTTTTTCCAGGTCAATCGATGATCGAATACGAGTCCCAGAAATTTGATTTCTTGTGTTTGCTCTAAGGATATGTTATGAAGCGTTAGTGGTACTCTGAGTTGGATTATCTGTCTTCTTGAGAATATAATATATTTTGTCTTTTCAGGTGAAAATGATAACCCGGAGTGTTTTGTCCATTGTTCCAATTTGTGAATTGTTTTTTGTATGAGTTCTGTATTGGTTGTTGGGTTTTTTCCTCTTATATACACTATCATATCATCCGCATAAAGACGTGCTTGAACTGGTTTTTCAATGTAACTAAGAATGTCGTTGACAGCGATTAAGAACAATGTCGGGCTGATTATTGATCCTTGCGGGATGCCATTTTCTTGTAGTTTGGGTTTGGATAGAACTCCATTCGAACGGACTTGAAAACTCCTATTGCTCAGAAAATTGGATATAAAAGCAACGATATTCCCATCATAACCCATCCGTGTAATTTTAAGATGATATCATGTCTCCAAATAGTGTCAAATGCTTTAGTCATATCAAAGTATACCGCAAGGCAATGCTGTTTGTTCTCGAAAGCTTCATATATGTATGTTTCCAGGTCTACTGCATTGTCTATGGTGGATCTGTTCTGTCTAAAACCGGACTGCTCCTTAGCTAGTAGATTCGACTTATTTAGGCTCCATAGGAGCCTTTTATTGATGATTTTTTCTAATAGCTTGCACATAGCGCATGTTAAACTTATTGGTCTATAAGATTCAGGCACAAGAGATGATTTGGTTGGTTTTAGTATCGGTATCGTTAATGCTTGGCGCCATATATCAGGAAACATATTCTCAGTCCAGATTTTGTTGAAGATTCTTAGTAAATGTTGTTTAGCTACTTGAGGAAGATTTTTCAGAAAGATAGTAGGTATGTCGTCAGGTCCTGCAGTAGTTTCTTTCAAGTCGTTAAGGGCTTCTTCCATTTCGTGTTCGGAGATTATTATATTCACTGGGTCTTGGTTGTTCTGTATTGATATTGGTATTGATTCTAGCTCTGTTTTGTGTTTTAGAAATTCATCGCTGTAATTTTGGTTGCTGGAACTTTTGAGGTAAGTTTCACTAAATGCTTCAACTATTGCTTCATTCGTTGTGTGTGTTGTGTGTGTTGTGTTTCCATCCTTCAAGCATTTTATAGGTGAGTATGACTTGGCTCCGGTTATGCTTTTGATCTTCTTCCAGACTGTTGCTAATGGTGTTGAACTATTTATACTACTTACAAACTTTTTCCAAGAATCCTTTTGACTTTTCTTTGTTATTAGTTTTGCACGTGACCTCTTTCGCTTTAAATCTATCAGGTTGTCAGTAGTTCTTTGTCTTTTGTATTTATTTAATGCTTTCTTGGTTGCTGTGATTGCTGCGCCGCACTCTTCGTTCCACCATGAAACGGAGTTTTTGTTTATCATTGGTTTGGTTTTACCGATGTGATTATGTGCTGCGCTCAAGATGATATTGTTAATGTCGCTAACTATTTGAAGTTCTTGGATGTGTCGTTCTATGTAGTCCGAGAATTTCATCCAGTCGGCTTTATACAAATTCCACCTTTCGAATGGTGTAGTTCTGTTTTGGACTTCCGTATTAGATATTCTGATAGGAAAGTGGTCACTTCCATAAAGGTCATCTAGTACTTGCCAGTGCAGTGAGGTTATCAGATTTGTTGAGGTTAAAGTTAGGTCTATTGCTGAGAATGTTCCATTTCCAAGATCAAGCCTTGTCTTTGTACCATAGGTTTCGCTACTATATTACTTTTAATATATATAGCAGTGCCACCGCTAGCTATTTGATTGGAAGTATAATTACGGTTCTTAAAGAATCCCTTGTAGTCTTTTGGTGAGTGTGTGTTGGTATCAGTAAAGCGAGTTTCCTGTAAGCAGATTATGTCTGGATTTTGATCTGATATGAGTTTCTGTAGCATGTTCAGATGACTGTAGTACCCATTGAGGTTCCACTGCAACAATGAAGTTAGTCCAATGTGCATTACGATTTTCAGGTAATTAGAAAGTTGAATCTATGGAGGAGGTATCACTAAGGCATTCGTTAGTGTTGTTGTCAATGTAGCGTTCTAGCTTTTTACGGAGTCTTGTGCATCTGTTTTTGACTGTTTTATCGGTTATGTGGGAGTATACTAATAGTATCATTTCTATAAGTCCTTTAATGTCATCCGTATAATCTTTAATTATATTTGTGATGTCTTGTGTTCCATGACTGTGCTCGAGAAGGCTTTTAAACTGGTCACTATTCAAGGGAAGGGCAGGCATCTGGTTGTCTATGAATGTTTTGGCGGTTGCTAGAGCGTCTTGGGAGATGTAGGATGACTGCATATCTGTTTTATGTTTCTTTGATTTAATATTGTTGGGAACTGCAAATGTAGGAGGGGTTGAATTTTCATGCGTAGGAGTTGTCGGTGAGATTGTTTCTGAGAAGTAGCGTTTTGGGGATGGGTTGTTGTGAGTAGCTATATATTTACTGCCTGTTGAAGTGTGTGGTATAACTCTATTTTGTTGATCCGGTTTGTTTTGTTGGGTGTAATTTTGTATTTCTGGTATCAGCTCTTGCGTTTTTCTGGTGGGGATTGGACTTTTGTCGATTACTGATTGGCTAGTATTTGGTAGATCTACATCTGCTTCACGCGGGTTAGGTATATGTTGAGATAGTGCTGTTTCTTGGGTCTCTGTTGTTATTATTTGTTGATTGCTTGTGTGGTGTGTGCTTGTTGATTTAGGTTCTTTGGTAGATTGGGTCTCATGTGGATTTGTTTGTCGTTGCTGGGAGGGTAGTGGTCACTGGGAAGCTATATGACCTTGTTTGTTGCATTTGAAACACTTTTGACTATCTAGCGATAGAAAAATGCGGTAGGCTAGGTTTTCATGAGTTATTTCAATGGAGTCTGGGATATTTAGGGACTGTTGGTTGGGTTCTATATAAACTTGTCTTCGAAAGCTCAGAATATGACTGTACTCTGGAAGTGGAGCACCTATTCTCAAGAATGAAATTGGCGATACGAGTTTCAGACCTAGTTGCAGTAATTTTTCGTTAAGAACTGAGTGAGGAACTGTAGGACTCACATTTGATATCACTAGACGGTCTGAAGGAGAAACTAATCTCCGTCCTCTCAAGATCTCACCATTTACCTCTATTTGTCCATGATTCTCTAAAAGGTGTCTACTAACTGTTTAGTTGCTAAATATATACATATTCTGTTGTTGGAAATTCTGGAACAGAACAATATATTTTTCGGGTTGACGATTGGACCAAGCTTAAGTAGGTAGTCTTGTAGCTTAGCTCCATCAGAAGAATTAAATATAATCGCTTGATCCTTGTTTGGGTACTTGACTGTGTTTTGAGTAAGTACGTTTGAGTAGGACTGAGCTGTTGTGTTGCTTTCAGATGAGTTTTGGTTATTAACAGATGACATTATGGTATAGTGAAATAAACTCCAGGTAGATGCCGTATCATTTCTCGATACGGTCCTGCTTATCCGCAAATATTTGTTGTTTGATCTTATTTATCGCATAAACGTAGAGTATTTACTCACAATATGTTCTTAATGGCTCACACTTATGCACTGGTACTCTTGCAGGAATTATTGATGATTTATTAACTAGTTTGTTAGTCAAAAATGTAGAGATTCACTCGGTATCAACCAATTCGATTTTGGTCAGGACCGAACTCGTGGACTACGTCTTAAAATATAGTTTGACTTCTTTCTCTGAAAAAATTGTTGATTGCCTTCAAAATCATGGGAAACGAAAAAAATAGACAGTCAAGTTTAGGGGAGTTACAGATTTTTGGTCATAATACTGGTACCATTATACGAACCTTTCAAAATTTCTCCAAAATCCAGTTATAGAAAGACCAATGATTAATTAGTGTTTTGAAGATTGCTCTATCGCAAGGACCAATTAATAAAAACTATAAACATTTTTTAATATATGGCCAAAGATTACTTGATGAACGCCACAAAAAATGTATCTACCATGTTATATCTGAAAATTATTCTTCCATTTGAAGTTTTTTCGCGAATACAGAACTTCCCTCGTCTATTGAATTGACTGAAAAAATGCACCCTGTTTGACTTTTTAAAGACATGTATACTCAAAAGACACATACAAGGATGTTCATTTGAAAACTTTTACCACCACGGATTTATCGAAAAGCACTGATTAAAAGAAGAAAAGCCGAGACACGTCTAAAGATTTATCAAGGGAGGCAACTTTGTAACCAAAACCTACTTCACCCCCTATCACCCTCGGCCCCCAGGGTCATTCCCTTAAAAAACTTTAAATTAATAGGGGTATCGAGTAATAGCTTTATTTTGACGTTTGATTTCTTAAAGTCAGTCGGTTCGTTTCCGAGAAAATTAGAAACATCTTTATTTATCTTAATTTGTTCAGATAGAAAACAGAAACACAAAAAAATAACACTTTTTATTTGAATAAATGTTCAAAATGTTGCTCGTTAGGGTTTGCCAAATTTACAATTCGTTTATAATTTAAAACGGAAACTACCAACGCAATTCGGAAGATTAGACGTGGCAGCAACTAAATAACAACCCGATTTTTTTCCGCATTCTGTTCATCAGCTCAGATATCCTGGACGAACTGTATTTATTGTTATATCTGCTTAGCTATTTCTTGCTAAGGGAAAGAAAGAACTTAATTTGCTGTCAGTTACCTTTGTGACAATCTTGGGATGGTGAAAATTAATTTATTGATTCAGATTTTACTTCCAAAATGGTTTACACACCATCCAAAAGAGTGGAAATGATTCTAATTTATGGTGCCCAAAATCATTGTACTCGGCAAACTGCCGTCACTTTTGACGCCAGACGGGAAGATAGCCTCGCATAGGTATGTTTTGGACCTTGTTATTAAATTTACTTAAACTGAATCTGTTACACATAAAAATCGTGATCATCGGAGATTTTTGGATAAGCCGCTCAGTTCAAGTTTTGGGTCATTTTGGAATAAATCCCAATTACGCAAAATTGTTGCTGCGGCTGGTATTTCCTTAGACTGTGTTCACACGATTACTAAACTCCATAAATTTTATCCATTCAAAATGAAAATATTGCAAGAATTAACCGAAGATGATTTCGATAGGCGAGTTGAGTTTTGTGAACAAATGACTGCAGCAAAAAAATAATGATAATAGTATTCATGAAAAAAATATCTGCTTCAGTGATGAATGCACATTTTATCTAAATCTAAATGGATTTCTTAATAAGCATAACTGCAGGTATTGATGCAGTACCCCAAGAAATTAATGTATGGACAGGCATTTTAGGAAATAAAGTGATTGGGCCATTGTTTATTAATGGAAATTTTAATGGGACCTCGGTTGGCCGCGTGGGTCAGAGTGTCGTGCTACTGATCAGCCGGCCGGCCGGGCCGCGAGTTCGAATCTCGCCTCCGCCATGGATGTTGTGTGTTTGTTTTAGGCAGCAGCGGTGACCGCAGTAGTAGACTCTTTGGTCTCCTGATCAGTCGCCGTGCGCTGTGCGGGTTCGAGTCCCGTCCCAGGAGAAACGTTTCTCTTGGCCATGGATGTTGTGATTGTCCGTAGGTGGTAGATGGTCTCTGGACTGTCGAACGCGGAGGTACCACCCGGCGGTTCTCGTAGGCGGAGCCAGAATGTGTGCATGTTGCATGCACACGTGTTCCCTCGCCAGAGTCCGTGTGGCGTCCCCCCTTTCCCATGTATCCCCCCATAGCCCCACGGTACCCAATGGGTGCTTAGGCCTTAGGCCTTCGTGGTAGTTGGAGTATAAAAAAAAAAAAAAAAAAAAAATGGAGACATTTGTTTGGATATGTTGAAAAGTACCATCACTGAAACCAATGAAAATCAAAGCCAAGAGGATGGAAACGCTATACCTGATGAGGCTGAAATATAATTCCAGCAAGGCGGCGCTACTCCTCACTATGTTCTTCCGGTTCGGCAACGGCTAGGCGACGAGTTTCCAGATAAATCGATAGGGCGAAGAGCGTCTATAGAATCGCCATGCAAGATCTCCTGATTTGACGCCATTAGACTTCTTTTTATGGAGTCACTCCTCAACCTGAAAGTTTGGATGAACTTCGTCAACGCATCATCGAAAGCTGCCTTGATATCCCACAACATGTTTTTGAAAATGTCCGTCAGGAATTTGAACATCGCCTATACCATTCATTGGACAATAACAGGCAATATTTTGTACACTTATTGAAATAAAAACTGATATTTTCGCTTGTTTTTGAACAAATTAAGATATATAAAGATTGTTCTAATTTTCTTAAAAACGAATCGACCGATTTCAAAAAATCAAAAGTCAAAATTAAGGACTTCGAAAGACCTTCCAAACAAGCTATTACCCGATACCTCTTGTCATTTAAAATTTTCAACGGGATGACCCTGCGGGGCAAAGGGTGAGAGAGAGTGAAGTAGTTTTTGGTTAAAAAGTTGTACCCCTTGACAAATCTCCTGACGTGTATCGGGGTTTTTTCTTTTATTATATACCAGGTATATAAAATTTGTAGTATAGCAAACATTTTTCATACATTATCTCAAGTGTTGCTTTCAAGTATTGCAAACGACTAAATTTTTACTTAAAAGAAGCATATCGCGCAATATTTGCTTGAATGTTTCAAACGAGTAATCCTAGTAGTTTTCAATATCCATATGAATTGTCAAATAGTCGTGTAAGACCCTATATAAACGAAATATAAATAGAAAGAAAAATACGAAGCATAGTTATGTAGACAATTTTTGGAACTTCTACCAAAACATTTTTGAAGGTGCTCCCCTTTCCGTTTTGAGTTGGGTTGCCGCTTTGCCGCTATCATCGCCATATTTTTCGCAGAATCTTTGAATACAACGGGATACGGGGACACCGACTTTATCAATTGAAACGCACGCCGCACAGCAATTCTTCTTTCTTTTCGGTACCAGAGTATGGATAGCACACGCTATGCCTGCTCGCAGCGAACGTCACCTATGGACGAATAGTACAAAGACCGCCATTTGTCTGAACTGCTAGAACTTACAGATTAGGCCATAGATGTTATGTATCGCCTCCGCCGTGAAGCATATGCTGTATTAAGCCAAACACATGGCACATAGGAAGTTGGATAGATTAGAAGGAGCCTATATGTTTACATTGCATTGTTTGTCGCCAAATTTGTGTAATTTTAGTGCATATTTTTGACTCATTAAACCACTATTGCACACCAAAGTGACAACGTGGTATCAAAATAATAATACCGGTGAAAACATCTACCCTCATGCAAAAAGTACCATGTCCTGAAATCGTCTAACGCAACAATTATTATCTCCAAACACTCGCACTTTCTGAAAACAACACTAAGTCAAACAAAATGGCACCGATAGCACAACTTGACGTTTAGGCAACCCCACTCAGCTATTACAAGAATAAATGAAAACGATTGCGAGAGTCAGATCATGTCTGACAATCGGCATCGCTTTTATTTTGCAGATACTTAATAGGGGTGCAGGTTAATCTACATTACTCCATTTTTTGTCACGACTACTATCAAATGTTTTAGATATATGAAAAGATAGCCATACTTTTGACAAACATGGAAAACCACAGAACCCAATTTGATTTTGACAATTCGTATATCTACAAGTCTTTCGCACTGCAATTTGTTAACAACTATGCTGCAGTTTTTTATATAGCATTCTTCAAGGTGAGTATCAGAATAAGGCCTGACCTTTCAAATTTCTGGTTTTACTGGACAGATTGAACGGACCTTTACGAATGGAACACACTACCATTCAAATGAAAATCTGACAGTGCCACTGTGAAATATTCAATTGAAAATTTAAAGTAGTACGAAAGAACAATAAAAGGCAGAACGCATCATGTAGATTATGGATCAATTTATTTTTTTTAATTTAAATTAGTATATTTCTGTGGTAGTGTGACAGTGCAAGCATATTTAAGTGTAGAGTAGTTAGTCAAAGTTTAGGTTACTTACTTCAAGGGCAGATTTTACGATCATCCGGGCCAAATGGAACAATGGGAGAAGGAAGGCGCCCTTCGCACCGACGTTTGCAGCGCTTCTGGTTGTATTCCAGATTTAAGTATCTCATTGATGACGATCATGATTATCAAAATAGCGTTTAGCCATATTTCGCAGTACCTGTGGCCGATAATTCGAAGCAAATACAAGATTCTGTTCATGAGCGTTCCTGTTACCGATAATCTGCCTGTAAGTTACGAAATCTGAAACGAAACTGTGAAAATTACAGTAATGTCCGCTTATAACAAACCCGTTTATTGCGAACTTCCGTTTATAACGAACTAATTTATAAGGTACCGAATGAAATGATATTAAATGTGTGCTATTTTTCTCGCATATAACGAACCCGTTTATAACGAACCTCCTGATAAAACGAACCTGAATGTTTGATATATTCGTAAAATTTTTCGGTTATGACGAGCCTAAAACTGCATTATACCAGAATCAGGTAATCGAAATCTTCCTACCGCGTGGTAGGGTATAAGCAATCGTCAGCATTTGCCGCCAGTCCGCCACCGCCATTTAGTCTGATACCTTCTTTATTCGTTGTATTCAATATCCTGCACTCTTGAAATCATGGCTGACGCAATTTCTAAGAAAACACGTAAAGCTCTTACTTTAAATAATAAATACGATACCGTCAAAAGATTGGAATAGTGGCGAAGCGTCCATGTAACCATTGGTAACAGTTAAAAATCTTAAAAATAAATATTTTAGTACTGTAAAACAATTTCATTTATTTATTTACCAACAGCGATATTTAACAGTAATTCAGTAAATAACAAATTAGTCCCACGAAAATAATGCGCCATATAGTGTCTAGGTTTTACGAACACGATGAAGCTGACTTGGTTGGCGGTTGTTACCATTTTCATCTATGGATACACTTGGTAGTCCGTCGGGGACCTTCGGTGCCGGCTCGTGTCTGATCGCGGTCGCCCGAGTGGGTGGGGCGCTGCGACTATTATGTGGGCTTGTTACCATTTTTTGATTTGGTTACGCACGTGCTTACTTCTCACTCGTTCGCACCCGTTTTGATTACCGGCCTTAATATGCGTGCAATTAAACATGGATGAGTGTCGCTGCGTAATCGATCATCTACTTGAAAGGTCATTCTTCTTGTATAATTTTAAGAAAAAAAAGGACATCATTGAAGATGGAAGACCAACACCTATTTTAGATAATTTTAAAAAGGAATAAAGAAACGTAGTTCGATATTTTAAATTCAGTTGGTATATGGAAACCCTTGGTTATGTGGTTGCAAAAAAACAGACTGTATTGTTGGCGATGTCATCTGTTTTATACAGAAAAAAATGGGTGGTCCAGCAGCGTCAACAATTTAAATAGTTTTAGGGCTCTAAAGAGGGACATGAAATTTCTCCGTTACATGTGAGATGTGTAGCCAATTTAATTCAGTTTGACAAAACAAGAATCGGAGTTGTCTTAACCAAGCTTTTAGGCAGTACACTTCTAGACACCGTATGTTTTTTGGCAAAACAGGAATTACCGTTCATTTTGAATGGGATGACTATGACAATAGAGGGAATGACAGGGAATTGTTAACATTCATTGCCAAAAAAGATCAAAAATTTTCCAAACATCTAGAAACGTCCACTGTTTTTTCGGACGGCTTGGATTAGTCATAGCATAAGACGATGAGGTATATCAAGTGCTCCAGACGCTCCGTCCAGGAATGTTTACCTTAATTTAAAAATAGTTTAAATAAAATACCTAAGATAAGCAAAAACTTATATTTGGGAGGTTCAAAATAAACTTTTTTTAATAAGATTTTTCACATCTGGTTTTGGTAACAGTTTAGGAAAAGTCACGCGTCGCCACTGGATTGCAAGGAGGTGTGAAGCAAAGTGAAGTTTGTTCTGAAATAGGATTAAGTAAATCACCGGTGAGTACTGCACAATAACATGTCCTAAACATACATAAATAAGCACTCTGAGATATGAATGTGATTTACAATTTTTTGATTTAATTACAGGTTGGTACAATTTGGAAAAATAAAGACAAAATACTGGAAATGTTTGAGAAAGACCAAAACATAAATGTGAAGAAAATTAAAAAGCCCACGAATTATAAAGTTGATCAGGGATTTCTGAAATGGTTTTCTCAACAGAGAAATAAAAAAGTAACCATAAGTGGTGCTATACTGCAATCGAAGGCTGAAGATCTTGGGAAGAAGCTATTGAAATATGAACAACTGAGTGAAGAACCTAAATTTAGTAGAAGCTGGATCGAAAGATTCAAAAGACGACATAACATTACCAGTGGAAAAATTGTTGGAGAGTCTGCTGCAGTTGATATGGACTGTGTGAATAACTGGTTGCGGAACAAGTGGCCAATCATCAGAAGGAACTTCAAAGACGAGGAATTATTCAGTGCAGATGAAACTGGCTTATTCTAAAGGATCTTTTTTTTAGAGGTATAGAACTTTAAATTGCAATAAAACAACGACGGATTATTCGAATGACATGAATTTTTTTTATTCGAAAGATAATCTTGTGGCATTACATTTCAAATATGATTTCTGGCATATGACCGCCACGGCTGGGTCGAATGTAGTCCAATCTGGACGTCCAATTTTCGATGACTTTTTCCAACATTTATGGCCGTATATCGGCAATAACATGGCGAATGTTGTCTTCCAAATGGTCAAGCATTTGTGGCTTATCCGCATAGACCAATGACTTTACATAGCTCCACAGAAAATAGTCTAGCGGTGTTAAATCACAAGATCTTGGAGGCCAATTCACAGGTCCAAAACGTGAAATTAGGCGGTCACCAAACGTGTCTTTCAATAAATCGATTGTAGCACGAGCTGTGTGACATGTTGTACCGTCTTGTTGGAACCACAGCTCCTGGACATCATGATTGTTCAATTCAGGAATGAAAAAGTTAGTAATCATGGATCTATACCGATCACCATTGACTGTAACGTTCTGGCCATCATCGTTTTTGAAGAAGTACGGACCAATGATACCACCAGCCCATAAGGCGCACCAAACAGTCAGTTTTTCTGGATGTAACGGTGTTTCGACATAGACTTGAGGATTAGCTTCACTCCAAATGCGGCAGTTTTGTTTGTTGACGTAGCCATTCAACCAGAAGTGCGCTTCATCGCTAAACAAAATTTGCTTATGAAAATCGGGAACAACGGCAATCTCGTTTTGGGCCCATTCAACGAATCTATGCCTTGCTTGATGATCGTTTGGCTTCAATTCTTGCACGAGTTCGATTTTATAAGCACGCAAACCAAGATCCTTCCGCAAAATCTTCTATAAAGTGGATGGACACAGATCCAATTCCTATGCTCGATGGCGGATGGACTCATTCGGGTCTTCCTCAATGCTACGCTCTACAGTAGCAATAGCTTCTTCTGTACGCACCGTACAACCGTTGCAAGCGTTGTTCAGGCGTGAGTCTATTCATGATGAATTGCCAAACCAAACTGAGAATAAATCACTTGACAGCTGTCAAATCGGTCGCCATCTTCAAAAATAATGCCAACTTAAAGTTCTATATCTCGAAAAAAACACGCGTTATAAGCTTACACCTGACAGGACCTTAAGATTCAAAGGCGAGAAGTGTGAGGGTGGGAAGCTATCTAAAGAAAGAATCACTGTGCTTGTAGTGGCAAATCTAACAGGGACAGAAAAAAGAAAGCTATTGGTAATTGGAAGATCAAGAAACCCCCGATGTTTTAAAAACGTTTCTCAGTTGCCAGTTAATTACAAATCCAATAAAAGAGCATGGATGACCTCAGAGATGTTTGATGCTGAACTGCGTAATTGGGATGTTGAGTTACGACGCGAAAAACGAAAAATTATATTATAAGTGGACAATTGTCCTGCTCATCCAGATGTTAAAAATTTGGACTGTATTAACCTAGTGTTCATACCCCCAAATACGAGTTCTAACTACAGCCTATGGATCAGGGTTTAATCCACAGATTAAAAGCCATTATCGTCAAGTTCTTCTCTCGAGAATGGTAGGTTTTATTGATAGTGGCGGGGAAAATTTTACAATCATCTTTTGGATGCAATAAACATCATTCATATTGCATCGCAGAAGAAAAAAGAAACAATTTTAAATTGTTTTACGCATGGGGGTTTATTGGAGGTTGATGATCATTTTGATCTCGACGATGACCTGCCATTAGTTGAGTGGATGAAGAAAATTCAACGAGACAATATTAGAGCCAATCTTCCTTACAGTGAAAACGATTTCAACGAGTTTGTTCATATTGATGACCAAGTTGTGACTGTCGAATACCTGTGATGATGGATGCAGCTGTAGATACTATAGCTTCGGCAGTGATACTGATGATGACGAAGAAAAGGAAAATTAAGAGATGACGAATCTGTCGGGATATGGAACTGATACCAACTCCAACCACATCAGAAGCACTTCGACATATTGACAACGTTTAATTTCCTTCAGTCACGAATACTCCGCAGCGTGCTAGATCGACTAGCTGAAATGGAATTACATTCAATATTCAAAAAATAACCAAACTAATGTAAATGATTTTTTAAGAAAGATTTCACAAAACTTTATAAATGTGGATTATATATATATGATTATATATATACAAATATTTATATTATGGTTCAATAATAAACTTTTATTACGAATGTTGTATAAAAAGAATTTATATTTTATTAGAACTTCGCTTATACGAACCAATTTGCGCCGGTCCTTGAGGTTCGTTATGAGCGGACATTACTGTATGTGATTTTTAAATGTTAGTAATTTTGGAATTTCTTGAAATTCTGGAAATTTTGCAGTTTTGAGAATATTGGAAATTAATAAAAATTAATTCCATTTGCTTTCAGCCACATGAGAGGGAGTATCTTCAAACTGAAGCCGAAGAGTACTTTTTAGTGAACGAATACATGGATTTGGTAATCCAATATGGCTTCATCGTGTTCTTTATAGCTGCATTCCCCTTATCACCAGCTGTCGCGTTGCTTAGCAACGTGATAGAGCTGAGAGTGGACGCTTATAAGATCACCACAAGGTTCAGAAGACCAATTCCGAAAAGAGTCACTGGTATAGGTGCGTGGTTCGGAATATTGCAGGCTATGACATACTTGGGAGTTATTACTAATGTAAGTGTGGGAGCGAAGTGCAGAGTGGGTCAAGCGAATCGATTGCCGCGCATGACTAGGAGAAGAAGAAAAACATCGTTAAGTTGAAGGAATTATAATTAAACATGCGCCACGATACATGTTGCGATGGGGATAGGGAGTATTGAATGTTCCTTTTTTGTATTCTCCGCCGATTATTTACGATATTACAATAACGTAATCGCATCTTTCATACATGGAAATGTCTCTATATTTATAAATATTTAAAACTATACCCTATTCGTAGTCCATTTACGCCCCGGCACAACAAAGTTGCTGCGCGGCAAAGCGGCAGCCGCCTAAGCGTTGCAATAGTTATTGGTCATTCGACCATAAAAGTACGAACAAGTGCAGAATTCGACAGGCTAGAACTTAGCGTGTGTTTATACGTTAGCATGTCGTCTACTAATACAGCAGATGAAACTGAGAATATTTCCTCCAATGCTTGACAATGTGACAAGAAGGAACATTTGAATATTCAGGCAAAAGACATTGTCCTTAACGTTTATAAGAGCGAAATTTTAGAGCATCCTGAAATTAAAATTCATGATATTGAAAGACTTGTGGCTTATGTCCTAAGACAATTTTCGACATTGTTAAAGAATATAAAAAGAAACAAAAAATTGTCTCCACCAGACAAGAGGCTGCATTACGCGAAGCTGTTGGATACAGTTGATAACTTTGATCGGAAAGCCATCAGACGCAAAGTTCATCAATTTTTTGAAAGGCAGGAGCCTCCTACAATAGACAAAGTATTACAGGAGATTAATAGCGATTGAAGACTTACCTACTTTCAAAAGGACCACATTTTATAGTTTATTCAAAAAACTTCATTTTGAGTATAGAAAACGGGGCAGAAATAGTATTTTGATGGACAACCAAGAGATTATTTTATGGAGAAGAAATTATTTAAAATCAATAAAGAAATACCGGGACCAGTGCAGGAAGAATTATTACTTGGATGACACCTGGATAAATGCAGAACATACAAAACCTAAAGTATAGTCTGTCTCTACAATTAAATCAGCAAGACAAGCCTTCTTAGATGGACCAACCACTGACCTAAAGAATCCGTCAGGTACAAGTCAGGTACGTGTATCTAATTCGTTATTTCTGTTGTAAATATGGTGTCAAGTAAACTGAATTTAACACGTTAGATACTCTGCTTGTATTATTATTAGTTTTCTTGAATACTGTATGAAATAATCAGTTCCAGAAAATGGAAAATGATTTGTTATCTGTCACATTGGCAGGGAAGATGGCTTTGTGCCCACTGCCCTATGGCCATTTGAGTCAAAGAAAACGAGCGACTACCATAAAGAAACGCTCCCAAAGCTTGACGACAATGCCGTCTTGTACTTGATAATGCTGCGTGCCACACTAGAAAACTAGAAAAAATTCCCGCAATGTCCACAAGAAATGCAGAAATTCAACAATGAAAAAGATATTTGTTTCAATGAAAATATGGTCAAAGCAGAACTTATTCATCTAGTCAGGCAGCACAAATATAAATATAATCTTAACGTTATTTACGAAATGGCTAAAAACCAAAATAAGACCGTTTTAAGGTTACCCCTCATCATTGCGAATTAAATACAATTGAAATGATTTGGGCAACTATAAAAAACTATGTGGCTTCAAACATTAGAACATTCAAATTTTCTGACGTGAAAAAATGAAGCTGTCAACAGAGTGACAGCAAACCATTGGAAAGATTATATCCGTCTCGTTCAATCGAAACAAAGACCTGGGATCTGGACAATATGATCGAGATTCAAATTAAACCTGTAATAATAATTAATATTAACCATCCGGACGATGATTCAAGTACTTCCATCGAATAAAGGATTGTGAAAAGTATGTGCACTTCTTTTTCTAAAAATAATCATTTATTTTGTTAGATTATTCCAAGATCATTGAAGATAATACGGACCTGTACAATCTCGCTTTTGGGCATGTTGTGTTTTGTCTGGGAGTAAATGGACTACGAATGGAGTATACAGTACCAATGCCGTTGATTTAAGGGTCGCATCTTTTAGCGCAGTTCGCAGTCACGTCATAACTCACGATCTGTCATTTTATTGTATTTTGGGCTAATTTGCTGCCATGATTTTTTGACAAGTTTCGAAAGGTAGATAGCTCCAAGTATGAGGACTCGCCTGTCATATACGTGCGAATTGGGTTCACACATGTTTATCTCCAATATAAAACATAGTGGTGCCTTAAGATGCAACTACCACCTCGACAGTCTCTATTAGAAGTATTTTAATAATAATAATAATAATAATAATTATAATAATAATAATAATAATAATAATAGGCCTTTATTTTACCTGGCGGGTATCAGTTATGAAGCTGCTCTTACCACCAACCAGGGCTACACAAAAAATACAGTCCAACCAATATTTAGCATTCCTCGTTTCATCAATGTATGATAGGAAAAGGGGTCTAACTCCGCGATAATATCAAAGGTATCCTTCTTTATTGGATATTTATAAATGATTTTGAAGCTAAAGGCGTCATTATTTTCCGTCAGATCAGGATTTTGGTTGATGATTTTATTTTTGAATACTTCAGCGTCACTATTGTACTCTAGTTGAAAGACACCTGAGACCTTTATTCGCGGATTCAACTTTTTTGGAAGAGCAACAGAGCAGTTCTTCGAAAAACTTGATTCAATAGAAGCCTTCACTTTTTGCAGAGATTGTTGGTTATCACGTTTCAGTATAATATCTCCTTTGTTTGTAACAGTATTAATCTGGACACCCACCTGCAGTCGTTCAGGATTAATTTTATTCATTAGCTGTTGTTTCTTTTGGCGGCTTCAAGATTAAAATGTGTTCATGAGTTACTACCTTCTTTACTGCACTGCCATATGACGACTCCATACTCCTGACACCAATTGCTTCCTTTTTTGCACATTCCTGCTTCTCCAGTTTCTTGTTCAGTTCTGCAACTGCAGTACTGAGCTCCTCGATCTTGGCGTGTTGGCTACTGATGATCTTGTAGCATACATCCTATTTCTTTTTCACCTCAGATAGGATTTGGGCGAAATTTGCACATTCACACACAATACTTGCAGAGCGCGAATTCGTCCGTTTGTTCTCACCACTAGTAGTACTCATGTTATTGGGAAATTCTAGCAGGACGTGACAACACAGCACCGAAAACTGGCTGCATTCCACAGATCCCAAAGCCTGTTTATGGCTATTAAGCTAACCAAAAAACCCAATATTCGGGGCAATGATTATATTCACTATTGGCAACTGTAACTTGAAGCCAACATAGGCTCACTTTAGAAAATTGTTTTAATTTCCGAATACCGAAAAACAAAAATTTACCGAGTACCGAAAAATTCTTGCAACCGTCGACTACACCGTTGCCGTGTGACTATTGTTGGATAGTGTAGTTTCTTATGATAAAGTCAAACTCTGAAGCCAGGATTTTCACGAAATAAGTGAAAACAATGGTCTTCTTGACACATAATTCATATGTTTGTGTGCAAGGGAGAGTATCAGCTACGTTGCGGATTAGCTTACGCAGTACGCAATACTCCATACGGAATTTTAGCTACACACACACACACACACAATTTGTTGATTTGCTCCGTATGGCATTGTGATGTAACCGCTTAAAACCGCGAAAACACCTTTACCGTTGTAATGTTCTATTTTAGGCACTGGTGATAGCGATAACAAGCGAGTTCGTCCCTATGTCGATATACAAGTACTTCAACGGTGGAAGTCTTCATGGGTTTACCAATTCAACATTATCCTTGTTCAAAGTGAGCGACTTTATCATCATTCCAAGAGCTAATCCAGCCCCTGAATTTTGCTATTATAGAGGAAGGAGATACCCTCCCGGACACCCGAAGGAATTTCATGTGACTGATGACTTTTGGATGATTGTTGCTATACGAATGGTTGCAGTTGTCGGTTTCGAGGCAAGTAAATTCCTAAAGCTGCGCATAGTGTAGCAGGCATGATCCTCGCATTACTTAAATTGCCACCATCTGAACGAGGTATCGTAAGTTTTCCTGTGACGTCATCGGAAAGGAGGCAAGTCCCCGACGGCAACGATTCACGCTCGGTACCAAGCACGCTCGACCTTCAGCGTGGCCTCGCTGATTGACAGTGAGGTAGATCGTAATCTGCCTTCAAAATGTGTGTTAAAACGCGTGTAAGGGGGAAATCAAAGTGAACTTGTAGCAATTTTTTCGGGCTGTTAATTCCTCAGTTCAACGTCTTCCAAATTTTGTTACTCCAAATTTCTTCATACAAGTATCCATTTCCTGACCCAAAAGAGCTTTTTCTTTTATTTTTTACTTGTTCTCGTGACCCTCAATCTAACGTACCACTAAAGCCTGATCTAAAAAAGCACATCTATCAATCAGAAGCTCCTTCATGGCCTGTTTCACGGAATACACTTAATTTTTAACGTGTGAATTGTACACAGTACTCGCTGGTTCACTGTTCACTCGCGTGATCCTCGCGTTCGCGGAATTGCCGCTGTCTGAACGAGATATCATGAGTTTACCTGAGACGTCATCGGGTGGAAGGCATGTCCACGGCCACTCACGCTCGATATCAAACACGTTTGATTTTCAGGAGTCAGACTGTAATCTGACTTCGAAATATGTGGTGAAACGCGTTCTAGGAAGAAATTGAACTTCAAACGTAGGTAGCATTTATTTTTTAAATCTTCAGGTTGTTAAGTTCTCAGTTCATCTTCTGTCAAATTGTGATCCCCAAATTTGTTCGTGCAAGTATCTACTTCCTGATCCAATGGAGCTTCTTCTTTATTTTTTTTATCTGTCCACGTGCCTCTCAACCATTTCGCCAACATACCACCTAAACTGTCAATCAGAAGCTCCCATATGGTTCTTCAATCGTGACCGTGTGAACAACCCAAGACCTTGGCTGGTCCACATTTCACTTCCTGTTCAAGAAAAGACTCACGAAAGAAAGATCGAAAGCGTACCATCCTGTCGTCTTCCGCCACTTGAGAACGTAGCTTAAAGCTCAAGGAAGCATACAGGAAATCCAAATTTGTCTGACGGCTTGAGTTGAATGTGTACGAGTGGAGAAGGGCGAGCAGTGTGTATCATCACATATTATAAAGAATCCTATACAGATTCGACACAATTCACAATTCAAAAATGTGAACGTTCAAAATAAAACCATTATTTGGGCGTAGAGAATACTCTAACATATATTTTTAACATGTATCTTAATTCAAGGAAATGGTATAACATATTGTCAACGTTTCAGACTGCCACGTCAGCGTTGCTAGGCACGCGGTGATGAGCTTCGCTATCCAGCCGGCTTTTATCTTTTTCTAACATATGTGGCTATACACACTTCTCTCTCGTACACAATGAACTCAAGCCGTCAAACAAATTTGGCTCTCATTCTATAAAACCCATAAATGTTGTCTTACTTAAGTAGTTAATATGTAATATCACACCACTTTTTGATTGGATGTAGATCACTCTCAATTTCTGCCTTAATTTCATTTGTAGCTGCGTCTTGCCAAACTATTGAGGCATTACCAGCAAAAACTTTGAATTTCAAGATTACAGTGTATTACAATGCGAACTGTTTATCGTCGGATCAACAGTTTTGGACTTACTTCATACCGTTCTTAGTTTGTTCTGCCTCTCAATCCTAATCACCGAAGTGATTGACTGGCTGGTGCAGAAAACGGCTGAACTGGGACCTAGGATGTCCATTGTCCTTAGTGATGAATCCATATTCTGTTTGAGGATGAGAATTTTTTTTCATTTGTTATTATCAAATCTATAATTGTGCTTGATTGATTTGTAATTTTTGTGTGATCATAGACTTTTTGCCATAGACCATAAAAACTGAGTACGTATTTAAATTTCGTTGCGTAGAAATCTGGATTATCAAAATTTATATTAAAATCACCTAAATGTACCGTGATACATTTTCGATAAAAATGTTTCTCACATATATTTTCGAAAAAATCAATAAACCTGTTTATATTTTCAGTTGGAGATCTGTGGTAAATATGTACAGTATAATTTTACTTGATATTCAATTCAATAATTATATACCCATTTGTACTCAACAGCTACAATTTCTTATACTCCAGATTCTATGTCACACAAAACATATACTAATATACCACCTGTATGTCTCAAAATTGTGTCTGCTCTTACAATTTGATAGCCTTCAATTCCACTTTCTTCATCGTCAATATCCCCTGTGAGATGTATTTCAGTTAAACAGAGCATTAACGACTTCACTGAAATCAAGTAATGTAAAACCACATCTTTTTTAGTTAGAAATTCCTGAACATTTATATTATAAATATAATTTGCATATTTTTTACCTCTAATTGCTATGCTTTATCACTATAATATGCTTTGGCCTGCGCTTTCTTATATTCAATTTGGACTATGCTGCAAATTTTATTAAAGGGTGAATGGTTTATGTCGAAATTTGTTTCATATTGTGAATTAGATTCTTTAGAATTTGAATAAGTGACTTTATTTTCTGGTATCTCACAGTTCTGGGGTTGATGTCCACTTCCACCACATTTCAAACCAACATCATTTTCTTAAGCTTTCATCAATTACTTAGCTAACCATAAGAGACATGTATACAAAAAATGTAATAAATTCGGTATTACTGGGCGTTTTTTTTTTCGATATCACTTAATATATTAATAATGAAAATAATAATAATATTAAGAACTATAATATATCCATTATTTACGACATTTATGCTGAAAATAAGATAGTTATCTCCCTTTCGCAAAGAATAGTCTTATTTAATATATATTTATTTAATTATTTTGGCGGAAACAGTGTTTTTAAGCTTATTTACTCCAAAATCCCTGTTTGGAAATTGTTTGAAATATTGTTTCTTGTAACTCTTACAATTTGGGATCCATCATTTAAAATATATTTTAAAGGAATTGAATTAAGTTCCAGTACATCAATATTTGTTTAATTTCTTCCATAGTATATCATGGTTCACTCAATCAAAAGCGGGGTGAAAATTATTTTGAAATCTAACCTCAAATAAAGTCAGGAGTATACTATGACTTGGGAAAACTTTCTAAATGAACAATTTTGGCCCATTTAACTGACTTCTCTATCTCTTACTGTTTCCGAGAACCCAATAGTGAGATTCCAATTTGAAACGCCCAGTGTGGTGTTAGCAGAAAAGATCCCTATGCATACCTGTACCTTGCTTGGATTACGGATCTCGCACATTATATCCCTCGCTGATATGTGTCTCGGGATATAAAAGTGCTTGGCTATCAATGATTTGCTTCACAACCTAGATATGTAATGTACTATTTTTGTAGCACTTTGTCATGGTGTCAAAAGGAGTATTAGCATACGCAATCCCAGATGTTCCAAAAGACATTGCGGAAGGGCTGGCACTATCAGAAAAGAGGAACCTAGATCTGAGACTTAAAATGATGGACGAGAACTTGCAAAAAACAGCACCAAAAGGCAAAAGTGAAGTGAAAATAAGTGTCGAATAAAAAATAATTACCATTAGTTTTTATTTTTTTTTAATCAAATGAAGCGCTATGTATTATTTCCTCAAAAGACAGACAACTGGTGCTCGCATTTCGGAACCATGAATAATGCAAATCCAGCACTAGCACCCGAAGATTACATAATAGTGCATGGCAGTGGTGTAACTAGCTTGGGTGGCACCCGGTGCGGAAGTTGGTGGTGTCACCCTAACGAAAGTCAAAAGCAGTATATTTTATATGATTTATAAACGTCATGGATCATTTGATGTTTATATTTGAAATATCGAACAAATTACAAAACACAATGGAAATTAAGACATAAAAAATATTTTTATCTTACAAATAAAATAACTTCATCAAAGTTTATATTTGGTATTGCCTCGTGTTCGATGGCTAATATGTCAAGATTGCTAAGCCGCGATTGGGTCATTATTGCCCGCTAATAGTTTTCTAATAATTTTAGTTTACTGAAACTCCTTTCCCATGAAGCTACGGACATGCAAATCGTCATGAACAATTTTAGTGCAATCATAAGATTTGGATGAGATTCTGTGAAATCCCATTCTAGAATAAACTTTGAAAAATCTAGATATACTCAATCAGAAACTGTAACATTAGCTGCTTTTAAGTGTCTTCGCAGTCTTGGTATCTCCAAAAGTATTTCGGTTTCTGAGACCTCATCATAAAACTCAGTAAATTTGGATGTAGGTAAATTCAGTTCTTCAGTATTCGCCAAAAGCAAAATATTTCTTTGTACGATCTCGAACAATGAAGCGAGGTCTTGAAGAGACTTCGATCTTGTCTGGAGTTCAACTCCGAATCGGTTAACATGGTCACTGCCTACTCAGACTGGATTAACTGTTCCCAATAGCCAAATACTCTTTTTCACCAATCAGAGTAATATTGGTATATGTCATCATTTTTAGGTATTTATATTGGTATCAAATTTAAAAAAGGTGTATATTGGTAGAGAAAGAAATTGTCCCCGATCGGTGCCGGCGGCATTGAAACCAGGATTATTCGTATCACTGCTGACGGACACCGATGACTCCGATCGCACACATGGCGAAGATCATCGATTGGCTCCGATTGGAGTCATCGTCAGCGAACGTGTTAAGTCAATCCAACATATATTATCTTTTTGAAGTTCTTCTTTCAGTGTGAGTCCTGCCTCATTGGCCATGTCACCAAGCACCCGTTTTTTAAGACGAAGTCGTCTTTCTGATGGAATATCGTAGTCTTCTGACTTTTTTGTAGCAATATCTATTGCCTCTTCCACAATGTAACCCCGTTTTCCTTCGATTTACAGATGAAGAGCCTCTATTTTTGTAGCAGTTTCGTCAACAGTTAAGCCTTTACTTTACAATGCAATCCGTGCAATTCTTTTATGTTTGTACATTGTTTTTAAAGTTGAGTCACCGGGTGGGTGACACCCGGTGGGGCCCGCCCCCGCCGCCCTCCCCTTGCTACACCACTGCATAATAGTCAACCGGTGTGTTGCTATAGTTCTGGGTGGATTTTCTCGTTCTCGAAGTCCTTTCGACAGCAAAACCTCATGCTCGCAATAAACTAATATCAAATCGATATCTACGTTATTGCTGTAGGAATGTGCCAATTTCATTTTTTCGAATTCGATTTGTAAATAAACTTTGTTAACCAACACATCTCGCGGCGACTGATTTTGACACGGACATGTGTGGTACCTCTTGTTGGTTGCAGGGTCGGGCTAGCCCATTCAAATTTTTTCGGAACTCCTGAACTATACGCTCTGTAAACAAAAGTTGAGGATACTCAGCATATTCAATTCAATTCAATTCAATTCAAAATATTTATTTCGTCATGAATAAACATCATAAACAAAAGAAATTCTATATATAGAGTAATGACGAAAAAGGACAGTCTCTCGATTATAAAACCGATACATTGGACCCTTTAATACAAAGAGTCCATGCGAGAAAGCCCTGAATACCCTAAAAGTTCTTAAACAAAATAAAAAATACAATAAAGAGGCAAATGAAGAGGCGGTGAAGCACAAAAAAGGCAAAAACGAAGAGAGAACCCCCGGGAGCTGGCAACGGACGCGAAAAACAAATCTATACAACCTGTCAGCGAGTAGGAATGTAAAAACGATATTTTTGCTCACACAAACGCTGCTAAAGTAGCTGGTGATTCTGTAACAACGTTTTTGTCAGTTTTGAGAATGTTTTTGACGATGAGCTTTTAACTGAAGTTGGTAAATTATTCCATAAGTGAACCGCCACATAGGCAAACGATTGTCGGAAGGAACGCGTTCTATGCCTAGGTACGATAAAATTGAGATTATTTCCACTTCTCTGGGCACTAGGCAAAGGCACAAATCTTTCTCTTAAATAGGGCGGTTGACCTGTTTTTATAACCCTATAGATAAAAGAATACATGTGATATTTTCTGCGATTCGTCATGTTTAATATGTTGTAGTTATTCAGATAAGGAGTGATATGGTTTCGATATGGAATTCCAAATGCAAATCTCATGCAACTATTTTGAACTTTTTGTATGCATTTTTTGGTTCACGACGATAGCGAATCACCATAGACGACATCTCCATAGTCAAAAAGTGATAAAATTAAGGTATTACACAAATAATATTTTTGTTTGGCTGATAAATGTTTTTTTAATTTGTTTATAATTTTTAGTCGCATGTAAGCTAAATTTGTTCTGATTTTAATATGACTGCCGAAGCCAAGCGAGCTATCAAAAATAATGCCTAGATTTTTTGTCTCCTGAACTATGGGGATTCTGTCATTGTTAATAGAAATTACTAAATTCTGTTCAAAATGTTCTCTTTCAGTACTGTTTTTATTCATAACCATTACTTGCGATTTTGAGGGGTTTAGTTTAAGATTGTGATGCTTTGCAAATCTGTCAATTCTTTGGAGATCTGAATTTAGTTGTTGTTGTGCAATATTGATTGTGGTTTTATTGACAGGGAGATATATTTGTGAGTCATCTGCATATTGTTTTATCTTTGCGAATTTTACCGATTTGACCATGTCAGATATGTAGATTGAAAATAGCAAAGGAGATAAAATTGGACCTTGAGGAACTCCTCTTTTTATAGGTTTAAAATCGGTTTTGTAAATAGCAGAATCATTTGCTAACATAACACAGTTTGAACGGTTGCTTAAGTATGTTTTTATTAGATTTACGGAGTTCTGCGAAAACCCCTGGTAATGTAACTTAGCTAGTAACATTTCATGATTCAGAGTGTCGAACGCTTTACTAAAGTCGAGAAGAACCATGCACGTACTATTTTTTTGTTCTTGATGATGTCTGATATCATCCAAGATATTAACTAATGATGTACTTGTGCTAAAGTTTTTTCTAAAACCGGATTGACTATCTGGTATGATATCGTTTGTGTCACAAAAAAATCTAATTTGATTATAAATATGCCTTTCTAAAATTTTGGATGTAGCGGGTGATATGCTAATAGGCCTCAAGTCTGTAAATTCTTTAGGTTCTGCTATTTTTGGTAAGGGTTTAACAATAGCTTTCTTCCATATTTCTGGAAATAATCCCCCCAAAATACATGTGTTGATTATATTCAGCAAGGCATTCGTACAAAATGGGATACATAACTTTAGGTCTCTCATAGAGAAACCATCCTCTCCAATGGCATTTGATGAGATATTAGTTACAATTTTGATTAGACTGGCACTGTCTAACAGTTGGAAGCTAAGAGAATCGTTAACGTTTACATTGTTTTTGTAAAAATTGATTAATTCTTGGGAAGCAGTGTCTGGTAAATTGTCGGTCTGCTGGAAGTAATTGTGTATGTCATTTACATTTTGTAAGTGTTCGGGTATAGTTGAGTGAGTTTTCTTGCATGTTATGTTGAGCTTTTTGGTAGTGTCCCAAAATTCCTTACCTTTCTTTGTTGAGAGTAAGTTAAAGAATGTATTTTTTTCTCGGATAATTGCATGCTTTGTATAGTTCCTTAGTTGTTTATAATATTCAAAATGAGCCTGTGATTTTGATTTTTGAAATTTTTTATGAGCTTTATCTCTTAGTTTGATTAAAATTCTTATATTTTGAGTTATCCAGGGTACATAAGGTTTTTCGGTTATTTGTTTTGTTTTTATTGGAGCATGTTTATTCAGAACAGTTACTATATTTTTATTAAAGACTTCTATTTTCCGGTCGATTTGGTTTATATAGTAAATATCCTCCCACCCAAGTAGAAACCCTTCGTTTAAGAAGGATTCTGTATCTATATTATTGTAGTCTCTATATTTAATAGTCTTTTTTGATTTATTTATTTTTGACTTTCGAAAGGCTGAGTAAATTAAGTTATGATCTGAGAGATTTTGAGAAACTGCCAATGATTTAGAATCGATAGAGATAAGATCCTCGCTAGCACAGATTATATCAATGAGGCTAGCCTCTCTTGTGGCAAAATTGAATCTTGTTGGCTCACTGATCCTTTGTGATAAGTTAAAACTATGAATTATATTTTTGAGGCGATTTGTGTATGCAGAATTATTTAAAATGTTAATATTTAGATCTCCTATCAGTAATAAATAATCATATTTGACACTGACAAAACCGAGAAAATTTTCTAAGGAGTCTAAAAAATAAGTGACACTCTCAGAAGGCGAACGATAACTATTAACTAAAAGATAAGTTTTTCCACCTATCTTAAATTCTATACCTATGGTTTCTGCACAGTTAATTTCCACATTTACCCTTGAATATTTCAACCCGCTTTTTATGTATAAAGCTACCCCTCCTTCTCGACCCTGCCTATCATTCCTTATAAATTTGTACCCAGGCAAGCAAAAACTCTCACTTCTCAAGGTTGGATTGAGCCATGTTTCAGAAACTCCAAAAATATCAAAATTGTATTCTGTCATATAATTACAGAACTCGTCAAATCCAGAATTTATGGATCTGATATTTAGATGTCCGACTGTGAAATGGTTGTGATGTGGACTATCAAATATTGATTCATCATTAACACTCTCCACTCGCTGACCC